CTATATCCCAAACACCCCTTGGGATGTGAGACTGTCTCTCTCTCTCTCTCTCTCACACACACACACACGTACACACTCTCTCTGTGTGTCCTTTTCCTTCCCTACCTTGTTTGGTCTCTTTCCTCTCCCTCTCCTTTTTGGCTTCTGTCCAATAAGAGTCTGACTCAGCCAAGCAAGACTGTATATTTTGCAATGGTGCTGTAAGCCTGTGTCAAGAAAGGGGCTGCTATAAGCAATGTCCTAAACAGCCCGATGCTGGTACAAGTTTGCGGGGTCTTGGAGTGGCTGATCAGATCGTGTGCTGTGCCTATGTTTTTCCATCAGAAAGGCTGCAAGTCAGAATCAACATCAGAGACAGAAGCTGCAGTTTCTCTCTTTTGTGTGTGTTTTGTTTTGTTTGGTCTAAAGGGAGCAGGATCCAACTTTAAAAACAACTCCAGCCTTAACTTCTTCTCTCTTCCCCAAACGGACAGTTATTACCATCTTTAATACCAGCTAAGACAGTGGTTCTCCACAAGGGGCCTGGGGCCCAAGGAGGGCTGGAGGAGGTTTCTAAGGGCCAGCATTAGACTCACTGGGGCCCAGGACAGACAGCCAAAGCCCTAGGCTCTGAGCCCCACCACATGGGGCTGAAGTTGAAGCCTGAACAGCTTTGCGGGGCCCCCTCTGGCATGGGGCCCCAGGCCCCTGCTTGCTACGCCCTAACGCTGGCCCTGCCTTTAATATGCAGAAAAATGGTTGTTGTGGTACAGGTGGGCTGTGGAGTTTTTATAGCATGTTGGCGGCGGGGGGCCCTCAGAGGAAAAAAGGTTGAGAACCCCTGATCTAAGAGACTGTCAGCTAAGGAGGGTTTCTTTCTAAAGACTTCCTCCAGCTAAAAGGAAAGGAAACATGGGATATGGTTGAAAGCCTTTGTTAATACTTTACATTTCAAATACTTTAACCACCCTCTCTTCTTTTCTGTGTCTTTAATAAAAGGTTAAAATATTTGTAAAGCTGTGTTTGCTATGGTACTAAGACGGCTGAAGTCTCTGTATACCAAACCCAGAACCTTGTTTAAAATGGATAGTTTCAGGGTCATGTTCACACCTTTGACTCTTTGGGACCCTTTTATTCCACCTAAATTAATACAATGGCATATTAATCAAATTGTATATACAGTGTAACTTTCAATCATGTAAGAACCTCCAGTTATAAGGATTAGTGGTAATTACTGCTATCGTGTAATTAGAGTGTAATTGCCAGGTAACTACTATATAATTAGTCACTTCATTATAAAGTGGAACAAATAAATGAAATAAAAGATCAGATATTTGTTCCATATTTAGCAGTCATTCCTAGATCAGCTAAACATCTTAGCAGACCAGTCCCTATGCCATACACAGGTCAAAACCCTGATATAAATAGATCCAAATGGTAATTACTCAAATAGAAATTTGGCTGGGATACTGGGGTAAACATCACTGCTCTTGGGGAAAATGTCACCAGATCTTTAATAATCACAAGTGATCAACCTGGACCTCAGTTTTTCACTTCATCTGAAAGACAGCACCTGTAGCAACACAGTACCCATCCTGTACCACTCTGCCTTTAGTCCAGTGCTAACTCTGCAGGGGGAAGTGCCACCTACTGAATCACTGAAACAACCTCCCAAAGCTACCTGAGTTTTTTTCTTGGACGTTTTTTTAGTTTGTGAGAGTTGGTAGGTCTGGAAACAAATGATACGACACCATCTCCCACTTGTCAGGTGGAATAAGATGACCATAGTTAAATACAGCACTAATGATCTGTTTGTAGACATGGGCAAGTCATTGAAGCTACCACTTTCAAACTTGGGTATCTAAAATTAGTCCCCTATCCAACCTAAATAAATTCCCTTGTTTTTCAAAAATCACTGGGAATCGTGGATACTGCACACCAGTGAAAATCAGGTTTCTTCATTAGGCACCGAAGTATGGATTTAAATGCCTAACTTTAGGCACCCATTTTAAAAGTTTGGCCCTCATCTTTCTGCCTCAGTTTCCTCTTTTGTGAAAGGGAAATAATTCCCTACCTCACAGAGATTTGAGGATTAATAGTTATTTGTAAAATGCTTAGAGGACGAAGAGTATGTGCTAAGTACTATCATCTTTCCTACTCTACTAATGAAATAAAAATCTTGTTTTAAAATTGCTTTGCATGCACATGAGATACCAAGATAACTAGCAATACTGCATTATAAACAGATGACAACTGATTCAATGAAATTAACCTTATAAGTAAGGAGAAATATATACACTGATCCTAACTTCACTTTATAATTTACAAAGACAATGTAAAAGCACTGCCCATCAACTGTCACTCCTGATATGATAACAACAAGAGATAACGTAACTATTTTTGAAGCCTTGGAAGAAATCACTAAGCCCGCAGCACTTCCTTGTCAAAAGCATCCCTGTACCTGACAATGTAAGCAACAAAAGACAGAAAACAGAAATCCAAATCATTATTTTACTTTATGCCAATACTTGCAAATGATCCAAGCACTCTGCCCAGCCTTTGACAATCTACTTTATTCCAATAGTGTCATCTTAGGTAAGGCTCAACAAAAGGAATGGAAATACAATACCCTTTAGAATTTCTCTCTGTCTTTTTGTAAGATGTGAAGTGTTCAATGTTGACATTATGATATGTGAGCTAGTTGTTAAAAACGCACAATGTGAATCATAGAGCTGTCAGGCTTATGTTTTTTTGGAAACTGTAAATTACACATCAAGAAAGACTTGGTCCTTGGCCTATCATTTGCATCATGCAGCAACATAAGGCGGTCCTAAATCCAGTTTGGCCATAGAAGGATGTCCCCGATATAGACCCTCTATGCCATCCTCTTTCTGCAACCAGCATCAGGGTGTGGCCAAGAGAAAGGGGGCATGGCCAGGGCTTCCCTCCACTCCAGCAATCCTTGGCTGGGGCCATGGGCATCTGGCATAATTTAGAGCAGCCCTGAGGCTGTTCTACATGGGGAACTGGCCTAGCACCCAGTCATCCTACCCACTGCTCGTAGTGCTATGTCTTCACTACTGGCCAGATTGTCGGGCAGTGATCGATCCAGTGAGGATCGATTTATCACTTCTAGTCTAGATGCAATAAATCGATCCCTGAGCACCCTCCCCTCGACTCTTGTACTCCAGCTCGGCAAGAAGCGCAGGCAGAGTCGACGGGGGAGCGGCAGCAGTCGACTCACTGCAGTGAAGACACCGCGGTAAGAAGATCTAAGTACGTCCCTGACTTCAGCTATGTTATTCACGTAGCTGAAGTTGTGTAACTTAGATCGATTTCTCCCCCCCCAGTGTAGACCAGGCCCCAGCTAGGAATTGCAGCTAACCTTTTATTGACCTGCTGACAACCCCCCACTGTATTATGATGGTGTATGGTGAGAGTTAACAGCCCCACTTGTTCAACCCCTGGAATAAAACATAGACCATTTTATTGAAAAACAGCATATACACATGTATATCTATTCTCATGCCTTTGGAGAAATCCTATAGAATTTAGTAGGAATGGAGCCAAAAGCTATTCTGTGGAATTTGAGAGGGAATGAGATTTATTGTACAGTATTAGTAAACAAGCCATTATAATTTAACTGAGAATTGTATGATTGCTACAGAATTCTACAGCCTAGTTTAATCGTTCTACACAGAGAGGCTCCTAGTCCCCATTACATTCTACAGTACTGTTCCATATGGGAAAACATGATTAACATTCAGCAAAAAGGCATGGGGATCAACAAAGCTCACTTCTGCCTTCTGCCTATTCACAATGTGTCACAATGAGATTAAGTCACAATGAAATTAAGTATAGTATGTTAAGATCGTGGGACCAATCTTTGATTCCAGGTGTGTGTGTGTGTGACACAGCACCGGATGTGGGAGGAGAGACACAGAATGTTGCATCCTTACCTTTGCGCTCCCCCAGTCCCTGGGATTGTTAAGGGACAGTTCAGCCCCCTAGCACAAGCTAGAGCCACTTCAGGGGCCATTACACAAGCTGGAGATTGCCAGAATACAGCAGTGCGGCACCCTGGAACAGTCCTAACCTGTCCCTTAAACCAGGAGGCTGAGAGAAGTGGTGGTGCTCTACTCCAGTTGAGGTTTCCCCCATGCTACTGTATTCCTGGCTGCCCAGTTAAGAGCGCTTTAATGGCCCCTTTTTACCAGGCCAATGGTTAATTTTTAAGGATTTTTATCTGTATTTAGTGCTTGTGAAATTTACCAAATTAGCTGTCAGGAAGAGTGATGTTCTCCACCTATCCATGGAGCAGAAGGAGGGTCAAGTGGTTCAAGTCCCTGCATTGCCGCAGACTTCCTGTCCTTGGGCAAGTCACTCAGGGTGTGATTCACAAAAGTACGTAGGTGCCTAACTCCCACTGACATCAATGGGAGTTAGGCGCCTAGATATCTTTGTGAATTCCGCCCTTAGTCTCTCTGTGCCTCAGTTCTAGGATACATTAAAGATACAAGATGCGTAGATAGTATGGTAGCAGGGCAATAAAAGTACCTTAGATAGATAGATAGATAGATCAGATACAGGAGAAGAAGCAGTACCACAAGTGCCCCATTGATGTCCCTGAACCTTGTCCCAGGAGGACCATTTCTAGGGAAGCTGAGCAAGTAAGTCCATCATGGCCATTAAATCGTTGGCCTTTATTCTCTAACTACCAATTTCAGTGGTGGCTTTTGGGATATGGACGCCCACTGGAAGTAGATGACCACTAAGCACATATCATATCAGTGACCAAACAACCATGTTTCAGACACTACCGCCCAGTGCTAAATTTGAACTCGCAACCTAGAAGTCAAAGAGTTTGAAGCAAAAATACCAATTGCCGGAGCCAAATTAACATTACCTATTTAAATCATGTAGAGTTGGCTAAAAATTCAATGTGTATCCAATATATCTTTAGGCATCAGACTGCATCGCCTGTGCTAATATCAAGCCTGCTTATCTTGTTATCTCTTAAGGGCACAGTCCAAGGTGAAGTGGAGACTTACAGGAAACAACTACCCACTCCTCAGAATTAACGCCTCTTGAGCACTCTGGAACTGATGACAAGTTGAGTTTAAAGGACCCTTGCATTGAAGTTCAGTGCTGAAGTTCTCCACATGATCTGTGATTTAAAATCTAGTTTACTGGATAAACTAGTGCTGCTTGGCCTCTCCTTATGTTTCATGAACATTAGTTCATGACTTGAGGGGATTTGAGCTTAGATAAAGCTCACAGAATAAAGACTATATTTAATTGAAAATACAGGGAGAATGTAGATAGATGGAATGTAATTACTAGGGTTCAAAACTGGCTAGGAAGCCAGGGTTATCATCTCTATTATTTACAGAAATAAAATAAAAATTGCTATGGGATCTTTAATTACCATAGCTGATCAGGGCCTCAGGTTTACATCTGATCTGTAAAATGTCATCTCTGGGGCATAACTTCAGTGGAGGCAGCTGAGACCCTCTTTCTGCTGTGTGGTGGGAGGGGTGGGGAGAAGATGGAGGAAAACTGCATGTGGCAAGCCCCTTCTGCACGCAGATCTGGAAGGGGCATGAGTGGGCCAAATGTTTGGGGCAAGATTATCACATTTCAAGGCAAAAATGCCCTAAAATATGTATCCAATAGAGTGGTATCTCTGAACCATGAGGCACAATTTGGAAGTGGGTCATACACCTGTCCTGATTGGGTCATGGCTAGAATGCTTCAAAGTGTTTGAAACGGCCGTGAAAATTTTTTCATGGAAAATTTCACTTAAAAGTTTGTCAGAGAAAATTTTGAAGGAAAACATATTTTGACCAGCTTGAGTGGAGTCCATAACTTCTGGGAGAGCAGAGCTCTGTGGCCATGGTAGCAAGGCATCATCATCGTCAATCGCAGCATGCTGCATTTTGTGGGGAAAGCAAAATTTGCCATTCTCATGTCTCAAGAGGGAAAGAAAAGGAAGCAGAGACGGTGCTTAGCTCCAGGCTGTTCTGCTATAGCACTAAGCAAACATGGGAGAAAAGAGAAGCCTTCCAAGCCCCAAACTCAACCCTGGACTGGCAATCTCCAAACCCTCACCAGCCGGCACCCTCAGCAATCTCAATCCCAGGCTTCTTGCCCCTGATTATCTCTAGCTCCCGGCACACATGTCTTCCCATGACCCAAATCCAAAAGGATTGTGGGATATAGTGTGTCACATAATGTTTTTGGGGGTTTTTTTGGACCATTTTGTGGGTTGTGGACATTCCTTTTGGAAAATGTTTATGGTTACCAAATTTATGCTACTAAAATATTGTATGTTGCTCTACTTCTGTGAGACTTGTAGCTTAAATTAGTTGTATACTGTGTATTTTTAAACATCTTTAACTGAAAAAATGTCCATCTTTTCATTTGATTTAACAATCCTTTAGCAGCATCTGTGGATTTGAAAAGAACTCAAGTACAGGGCATAAATGTTTTTCTAAGGAATATAATAGACTATTGAAAAGAAGGTAATGCTGACAAATAAAAAGTTACCTTTTCAAAGGTAAAGTGTTACAAGTGCTAAAAAGAGCATCATCTTCACATCAAATCAAGCAAGGTACAGGATTCAAGAAGCACTGTGCCAAGAGGCAATTTCTCAGCAAGATGTTAACATCAGAACAGAAAGTGATGTGTCTGGAAGCAGAACTGCTGAGCTGCAAACAACCTGGGTGTGAGTCAGAGAATATTAGGACAGACCCTGTCCACCAGGAATATAGACTTGATTGCATGTGACTTGTGTCAACTCTAGAGCCATCAAGAGAAAACCAGAAAACCAAGGCAACAGCGATATTTCTAAATGAGCCATTCAGCCTCTAAGGCAAGTAATCTGGCAACAACTCCAATTCCAAGGGGAGAAGTCAACGTGCCAAGTTTGTGTTCTACAGTTAAAGCCTTCATTCATCTTTTTCCCCCCCAGGAAAAAAAAATCACTAACACGTCATGTTTTAAATTATGATTATGTCTTAGACTAGCCCATACTTTTGAAAGCAGAATCCAATCACCTGCTCAGGCTCATTAGTGTCTTTGGGATCCTAATGACCCACTCAGTTGCAGTAAATGAAAAACTAATCCTCATTTTATGCCATTGACCGAAAAGGATTAACCAACTCTTGCTACCCATGCAATCAGCCTTGTAGTAGGGAGATTACTGCCTTCTAATACAGTAAGTCTACACATTCCAAGCTGTTACAGTAAGTAGCATTTAAAGCTTAGTTCCTTGAAATGCTTAAGCGTATTAATGCTGTAGTACGTAAGACTGTTTTCTTACGATGCAATGCTTCTTTTGTCACTGCGACTAAACTTTGTATTTACACTATTTCCTAGAAGATGTTTTTTAATGATGCCAAATTAGCAAGGGGGCAGCTAAATGTCATTCCCCCCAAAATGTCATTTCCATCTTGACAAAAGGATGCGAAAGCTGGAAATCCGACAAAGTTACAGCCCAACATCTAAGGGCTAGATTCACAAAGTGAACAGACATTGCAACGCCGAGCGGTGCGACGCCTGACTCCTAGGCACCCTGCCACCTCGTGGAACTCCCAGTGCTGCATGCCCAGCTTCCCTCTCCAATGTATGAGGAGAGCTAAGCACCTAAAATGAGATTCACAAAAGCTAGCACACTGTGTGGAAAGCAGCCTACACTAGCCAATGCTGAGAGGAGGGCTGGGGCCTAAGTAATGCACCTTAAAGGGAGTTAGGCACCCAAGTCCAGGCTGGAGGGAGGTACCTATCACCACTTGGGTTCACAGCTGTGAGCCCTCTCCTGAAGTTAGGCACCTATACCAGGTCAGCCCTTTATGAGGGGGGTGGTGGTGCCCCCTTCAGCCTACTGGCTAATACTAGCTCCAGGAACAGGGAGACCTGGGTTAAGTTCTCCCCTGCCTGATGTAGGACAGGGATTTTAACTTGAGTGTTCAACCTCCCAAGTGAATACTGTTCCCTAGGCATTCATACACATGGGGCCCAATGAATATTTCAGTATTTATACACAGAGGAACCGCTTCCACAGGAGAGATTGAGAGGCTTGTGCCAGAATACCCCATAGCCCAGGGGATGGGGCACCCACTGAAGACGTGGGAGACCCACCTTCAAATCGGTGCTCTACATCAGGCAGAAAAAGGTATTGAAGCTAGACACGTGATCTAAAGCCAGAAGGGGGGCTCTGCCTCCTCCTCTGGTGTACGTTGAATGGCTTTAAGTGGGCTCACAGCACCAAATGGGGCCCCAAAAGCAGGATAGGTGGGACAATGCTTAGTTTGAGCATTGGGGCAGTGGTGGATTAGCCCCTGGGCCGACGGGCATCGGCCAACCGGGGGGGGGGGAGGGGTCCTGGAAAAATCCACCAGCAGAAGCCTGAAGTCTTGGCTACCAGGCGGGTGGGGCAGGGGAAGCCCCTGCATTCCAATCCCACACAGCAGTGCTGGGTGGGGAGAAGCCCTCCTCCCCCCCCCCGCCATGGCCTCAGACCCCATCCCCAGCAGAAGCCACGGGACAGCAGGACAAGCTGCCACACCGGACCTGCTCTCTGGCAGAAGCACCCAGTGGGCGAGGCAGGAAAAGCCCCAGCACCCCGACTCTGGTTCCCTGGGCAGGTGGCAGGGGAAGCCCCGAACCCCTGCTGCATCCCTGGGACTGGAGGAACTCTCCCTCCCCACTGAGACCCCGGGCGGTGGCCTTGGGACAGAGCTTCTCCAGTCTTGGGGCTGTGGGGCGGGGGTGGCAGAAAGGAGCAAAAGGGGTTGCAGGGCTGCAGTGAGGGGGTGGAATGGGGGGATACTGGATGGAACGAGCGTGGGCCCGGGGAAGGGGCAGAAAGAGGTGAGGAGGGGCTCCCCACTTGCTCTGTCCCAGGGCCCCAGGAAACCTTAATCAATCTCTGCCATGGGGGGGTTATGCACTGGACGGTGGCAGAACTGAGGCAACTGTGCACAAACCCAGCTGCCAAAATGTAGGGACTTCAGGCTGCAGCTTAGCGAGGTTTTGTGAATGCCAGTGCCACCTAAATGTTGGACTTAGGTGCCTAAAGTTGCAGTTAGGCACCTAAGCCCCTCTGTGAATCTAGCCCGAAATGCCCTTGAAAGTAAATTTCAGTGTTGATGTAGCTGAGTTGGTCCCAAGATACTAGCGACAAGGCGGTGAAGTAATATCTTTTATTGGACCAACATCTGTGGGTGAAAGTTCGAAAGCTTGTCTCTTTCACGCACAGAAGTTGGTCCAATAAAATATAGTACCTCACCCGCCTTGTCTCTTTGAAAGTAAATGTCTTAGAAAAAGTACTAGGTACAGTTGTAGGGTACCTCACCACTACCTGCCCTTAGTGTTGGGTAGTATTGTCTGTACCTGAATTATCAGGCCCATTGTCCCCAAAGGAACAACACACACCAGCTTGTAAGATTCAGTGCAAAACCATCACTTTGCTTAACACCACAGCACTTAGATATATTTATAATGAAAACAAGAATAAATTTATCATCAAATACAGAGATTTGGAACAGAGATTCCAGTAAGAGTGGGTCAGAATATTGGAAACAAACGGTTACATCTAAAACAAAAGCATAAAACTTTCTAGAGACCAAACAACTAACAGCTAAATCTTCTGTCTAAAGAAGTTTTATCTTAGCCAAAGTTCTTTTCAGCATTTTCAACCAAGCCTGGTTGACCCCTTTCTCATAAGCAAAACTCCATCCTTTTTACTTCCTCATTGAAGGGTGTCTGGGAGTCTTCTAAGCAAACCTCTGACGTGCACCTCCAGATAAAGCTCTTGGACTTGCTGTTTTACTCTTCCTGTTAGATTCTTTCCTAACTTCTGACAAGCCTTTAATTGCATTCAGGGCAGAATGGTAATAGGAAGTGCACTGTGAATGAGCCAATACTCAATGTACATGTAAACAGATAGATGCACAAAATGCCTCGTCTGATAGAAAACCGGTTGTTCACCTTTGCTTTTCACCAGTTCCTACAGACTTTAAGACCATATTTTCAGTATATATTCATAATTCCTTATATAATATTTGTACATACATTGCACAAGAATATTGATTCCCATAAGACACAGGCTTGTATTCAAGACCTCACAGGACACACTTTGGTGAACTAGAATATACACATCAGACCCATGAGATTCCTGTAATCACTCGGCACCTCCCCTTACCAGCTGGAATTGAAAGGTTCTTGGGTCACAGTGTGAAATGGAATGAATTTATAGCAAATGCCAAGATTTGTCAGAGGGTCAATAGTCCATTATCTCTAAAGTTATCCAGAAAAGACAATGGAAAAATTTGGGATGTGTTAAGAATGAAGTCAGAGACTCTGCCATGACAGGCATACCATTGAGCTGCTAGAGGGACATGCAAAAGGTGCCAACCAAAAGAATTCCTCCATTGAACACTATTCAGCAAAAGAAAACGTATGCGCCTTAACAACTATAGGACATGCAAACAGCATGATAGACAGGGATAGTGGAGCCCTGGTCATGCCTGGGAAGGATTCCGATTCAAATGCTACTTTACTTCTCACATGTAGCTAAGTCTTACTTATGTTCAAACTCTTGAGAGAAGTTCCGGAACAAAAGCTCTCTTTACTAGGGGACTGATCTTTCCAGCAATGCACATGCAGAATTTCCATTGATTGTAATGGATCAGGCCTTAAACAGCTAAAACTGAAAACAGACGTTTAATTAGCTGATTAATATCGTAAAGTGTCAGGTCATATTTTTGCATTTTAAAATGTTCTCAACAGATAATGGCAATGAAAACCACTACTAACAATTAACATTCTCTCCAGTCACCATTTTGGATTAAATCTCAGTGCTGTAGCCCTTGTACTCTCTGAACTTGTTCTAAACGCAGATCTCCTGTTGATGGGCATTTCACACATGAAATGAGTGAATAATTATGTGACAGAGAACCACAGCATGAATCCAGGGGGAGAATTTTTCTCAAAATATTGACTTGTCATTGTCATTAAAAAATAAATGTGGCAATGAACCAGTTGTGAATTCTAACACTATTATTTGAGAGTAAGCAAACTATGTTCTCATGTGTTAGTGCTAAAGTTATCTCTGATGTAAAATCCAGGCGCTCCTGTATTTATTTTTAAGCATTTTTTAATTATCACAAAAACTTTGTAGTGAAGAATATTAATGTAACGCATTTTGTATTGTTTGAACGTCAATCATGAAATGACTTAAGGCGAACTGCGGCTGCTATCTGGGAAACCTATATTTTGAGTGAAAACAATTTTGTGAGCGTCTAATTTTGTATCCACTGTGCAGTGCACCATAATATTACAGCAAAGTAAATGCTGTATACAAGGAAGAGACTGCTTGACTGCAGCACAGAGACTTCCCAGTTCTCTTCACTTATCTTTGAAATTCATCCTTTATGATCCAACTTGTCCTCCTGTCATTTATTTGCTTTATGCACATGTGGTGTCTTGTTTATACCGTTTCTAAGAACCATGGGGCAGAGACTATCTTTCTTTATTGCCTGGGCAGGGCCGGCTCTAGGCACCAGCTTAACAAGCAGGTGCTTGGGGCGGCCAAGGGAGAGGGGCGGCACGTGCGGCAATTCGGGGGCAGCAGGTCCCTCACTCCCTCTAGGAGCGAAGGACCTGCCACTGAACTTCCAATTGCCGCCGCCGATCGCGATTGCGGTTTTTTTTTTTTTTTGCTTGGGGCAGCAGAAATGCTGGAGCCGGCCCTGTGCCTGGGGCCCTTGTCCCTTATCAGACCCTCTTGACTCTGCCACCATATAAATAAATAATGACAATGAATTCCCAACTTTAAGGTGATATCCCTTGACAAACTTCAGACCTTTTAAGGCAGTGGTCCCTAAACTGTGGGGCACACCCAGGGGGAGGGAAGCACCACCAGCCCCACTCTGCCTCCGGTTCTGTGCCAGCCCCACCCCTGGTCCCAGTCTCCAGATGCAGATGCAGCCCCAGCTCTGCTCCTGACTCCCAGCCCCTACTTTGGCCACTGCTCAGCCGCCAGCCCCCACTCTCGATCACCGGCCCCCAGCCCCCTGGCTGCAGCTCCACTCCTGGCTCCCAGCCCTCCACTCTCGGCTCGGGGAGGTGGGGACACATTCCATTACTGGTAAAGGGGGGCGCAAGAGGAAAAGTTTGGGCTCCCCTGTTTTAAGGAGCTTATTGTGGACAAATAACTCAAGTTGCTCATTGCTGGAGGATGGGAAAAGTTATTTTTTTGCATGGTTTTCCCATTAACTCCTCATCTTAATTTTTTTTAAAATGATGGATACAAACATCCTTGTACTAAGTGGAAGCCTCTTCTGGACAGTAAAAACTCATCCAAGTAAATATCATGGGAAATTATTCTTGTGGCATTTCTGGTTGAAATACCAGAAGTCTGACATATTTCTGTGGGTATTTTTCTGTGAGAAAGATGTCTGAGAGGCATGCAGGGTTTTCCTCCTGGCAGCAGCGGGTGGGTAACAGGATAACATTACTCTATAGTATATACATATTGTATTCAATAGATTCAAATACAAGAAATGTAGCTAAATACCTTGATATTTACTAACAAGTTGGACTTATGTGTGCTGCTTAGTTGTATTAAATGTTTCTTTTAGAACAGAGAAAGTATTTAACAGTGCATAGATTCTATGCTGGTGGGCACAAAGTAAAACCTCAGACAGCGACTGACAGTTAAAAAACAACTGAAATATAGTTAGGTCCCCGGTGGGTGTAAATTGGCACAGCTTCATGGAAGTCAATGGAGTTATACCAATTTACACCTGCAGAGAATTTGGCCTATAGTATTCATTACAGGCATTTATATGGTGCTTTTCATCATAGGGTATGTCGCAGCTGGCCCGTGCCAGCTGGCTCGGACTAAGGGGATGTTCAACTGCAGTGTAGATGTCCAGGCTTGGGGTGGGGTCTGGGCTCTAAGATCCTGTGAGGTGGGAGGGTCCTGGATCTGTCTGCAACACGAGCTGGAACGTCTACACCGCAATTAAACAGCCCCGCAGCCTGAATCCTGGGAGCCCAAATCAGCTGTCACAGGCCAGCAGCGGATGTCTAATTGCAGTGTAGACATACCCATGTCTGGGAGCACTGTACATTGCTTACATTGGGGGGGGGGGGATTCCCATGTATGTAGCTAATACTCTATAACACCAACCCTTTCTCCTCCACTTCCAGGGACGCAACTTTAAAAGAATAGAGACAAGGATGACATTGACAGACTAGATGACAGAGGAAACCAAGAGTCAATTAGACAAATGGGTGCATTTTGCAAGGCTTTCTAAATGTGGCCAGTATTGGACTTAGGAGACTTCTGGCTGTAGTATATTCCAAAGCTTTCTACCCACAATGACCTGGCTCCAGCTCCCTCAAGCCTCACCCTTACCTTAAGTGTTCCTGGTAAGTGCAGGTTGAATGGCAGGTCAGAAAGAGAGTTCTGAGACAGATCAGGCCTCCACCGTTTAGGCCCCAATCCACAAAGGTATTTAGGCACTAAGTTCCAGTTTTAGGCTCCACTGCAATCCACAAAACTCCCACCGAACTCTGTAGGCACTTAAACTCACTTGGTGCCTATATTTTCAGGGTAAAAATTCTCTCAGCACCTAACTGACTCTGGGCATGCACACAGCTGCCTAACTCTAGGTGTCCAGATATCAATCTCCCACCTAAGCTCCAGAGTGATCCACAAACTGGGGGAAGGCAGGCAGATGAATGCCTATCACAGGGGTCGGCAACCTTTCAGAAGTGGTGTGCCGAGTCTTCATTTATTCACTCTCATTTAAGGTTTCGCGTGCCAGTAATACATTTTAACGTTTATAGAAGGTGTCTTTCCATAAGTCTATAATATATAACTAAACTGTTGTTGTATGTAAAGTAAATAAGGTTTTTAAAATGTTTAAAAAGCTTCATTAAAAATTAAATTAAAATGCAGAGTCCCCCGGATCGGTGGCCAGGACCCGGGCAGTGAGAGTGCCACTGAAAATCAGCTCGCATGCCGCCTTCGGCACCCGTGCCATAGGTTGCCTACCCCTGGCCTATCTTGTGTGCTGGTCCCACTCCCATAGGTGTGCAGAGAGGCTGCCTACCAGGTCTCATTCAAAATATGATCACTGGATGAGATAGTGCTACTACTCAATTTATAGCCCAATGGTTTGAGCACTCAACTGGGATGTAGGAAATGCAGGTTCAGTTTCCCCATCTCTGGCAGAGGGGCAGCAAGGATTTGAACAGGGGTCTTCCACTTCTCAGGAGAGTGCTCAAACAACTGAGCTATGGAATATTCTGGTGTGGGACTGCATCAGTCTCTCCTGTTGAAACTGTTCCACTGTGGAAAAATAATGAAAGAATGTTTGGAGCAGGATAACTGTACCCTAACAACTGGGCTACACAGTCATTCTCTCTCTTTCTGGCCCAACAACTGTTCCACTGTGGATAAATACTTAAATAATCATCAAGCTTCACACACAACTTAGGTGGCCGAATGCCTGTCTTCCCTGGGTTTGTGAATTGCTCTGGGTTTAAGTGGGTGTTTTGTGCATCACAGTGGTCCCAAATCTGGGATTTAGGCACTTAACTCCTTTTGTGCATTCAGGCCAAAATACCAAATACTCTAATTACAGAATTACTTCAGTTTGCAAAGTTGACTAAAACACTCACTCGCAAAACCATAAACGATAATTGACAAACAAGTTTATTTTAAAAATGTGTACATTTTTACTTTAAATGAGACAATCAGCCGATTTCTGAATGCTGTATTTAGCCCAATAAACAAATTCAAACAGTGTTTAATGCTGCAGTAAAATGGTTAATTTTTTTTTTACAATAAATGAGTTAACTAAAACCATACAAAACAGTATTTATACCACTGACAACAAGTGTTCTGTTGCTATAACTGACACCAAAACCAGCCTCCATTTTTTGATATCATACATTTAATTTATTCAACATGGAGGTTTAATACTCAGTAAAAGGTACTGAATTAACGGAATATGCTATTGCCGATTGACATTTTTGCTGTTTATGTTAACGTGTGCAAGTTAAAGGAGAGCTTATCAAACGGTTTCATGCACACAATACATTAAATCATTAAAAGTGATAAAATAAAAATAAAAACATCTCAGAGCATGTATGATTAGTGGAGAATATTTAAATGCTCTTGTACAAGTACAGTAATGTCACCTTACATTAAATGACAGAGAAGTGAAATGTTATGAATTTTTCTTAAGTTGCTGAAAACAAGGGTCAAGGCTAAGCAGCAAAAATACACAAAAGGAAGTCAAGAAATGTATTTAAAAGAGTGTAAATGGCTTTGTATTTTGTGATGAAGAGTGAAAACCTTTCAGAGAGGAAGAATGTGATGATCTCTGATCCTGTCCAAATGCAAATGGAAAGCTGAAGTCATCTTTTCCATCCCCATATTCATGAGAAGACGACTCTGACGGAAAGGAAAATGTAAACGCATCTTCATTTTCCGATTTCCCAAATAAGCTTCCTACAGGGAATACATATTTTAATTAGTCTGTTAAAATAAGATTTCATCTAATTTAAGATGATTGCAATCAACAGGCTGTATTTCTGAAATAATGTACTGTACTTTAACATCCTGTTGAATATCAGCATACAATGGCATGTTTATTCATGCATTAGAAATGGAGGTCCCATTACTGTGACACTACGTTTAATGAAGGCTAGCAAGACAATTGCATCTAATTGATTAGAGGCTTTCACGGTGTTCTATAGAGCCCTTCCTAATGGTCCACAGAATGAAATATTTTGAGACAAGCTGTAGAGGGATTGGGTGTTGAAAGGGGAGGTGGTCCATAAAGGAGCTCTTTTCTTATAAAGTGGTCACAAAATGAAAAGCCCCACTGATAGAAGATTAAGAAGAGTTCACTACGTCTGGACAAAGGGACCACTCGTGGCCGTGGAACAACTTGCTGAGATGATCCGCCAACTCATTCTGTACTCCAGGGAGGTACAATGCTTGCAGGTGTATCGAGTGTTCTACACAGAAGTCCCACAGAATGAAGGCTTCCTGGCACAGGGGAGAGGAGCGTGTACCCCCCAGTTTGTTGATATAGAACATCGCCGTGGTGTTGTCTGTCATCACTGATACACATCTCCCTGCTAGGTGGGCTCTGAAAGACTGACATGCCAGGCGCATTGCTCTCAACTCTCTGACATTGATGTGTAGAGCGAGACCCGCCTGAGACTAGAGGCCTTGTGTTCTGAGGTCTCTCAAATGTGCCCCCCAGCCCAAGTCTGATGCATCTGTCACTAGTGAGAGGGATGGCTGAGGGATGGTGAAGGGGACCCCTGCACATACTACCTGTGGGTTGAGCCACCACAGGAGGGAGTTGAGGCAGGGTTACAATCCTGTCCAAACTGTCCCAGACTGGCCAATACACTAACGTTAGGCACGACTGAAGAGGTCGAAGTCTGAGTCTGGCATGCTGTACTACGTAGGTACAAACCACCATGTGTACCAGGAGTTTCAGGCAATTCCTTGCTATGGTGGTGGGGAACTGCCTGAGACCTTGTATGATGTCGCCCAGGGACTGAAACCTTGCTTCCGGGAGGTATACCCTGGTTTGTGTCAAGTCCAGTACTGCCTCCTATGAACTCTATCCTCTGAACTGGGGACTGTGTTGATTTCCCCTTGTTCAGAAGGAGGCCCAGTTCGTCGAATGTCATTCTTATGAAGTCAACCTGTGCCTCCACTTGAGACCTGGAGCGGCCCTTGATCAGCCAGTCGTCTAGGTACGGGAACACCCATACCTGCCGCTTCGCGGGAACCCGGCCATGCACTTGGTGAACACTCGAGGTGCCACTGACAGGCCAAAAGGGAGGACTATGAACTGATAGTGGTTGTTGTTCACCACAAACCTGAGGTATTTTCTGTGGGGTGGAATTATTGCTATGAGAAAGTATGCGTCCTTCAAGTCAAGGGCAGCATACCAGTTTCCTGGATCCAATGAAGGGACGATGGAGGCCAAAGACACCATGCGGAACTTGAGCTTCTTCACAAACTTGTTGAGTTCTCGCAGGTCTAAGATGGGCCTGAGCCCACCTTTGGCTTTCGGTATTAGGAAATACCGGGAATAGAAATCCCTGCCCCTTTGCTCATGAAGAACCTCTTCCACTGCCTCTAGCGAAAGGAGTGCACTTCCTGTATAAGGATTTGCTCATGAGAGGGATCCCTGAAGAGGAAAGGGGAAGGGGGTTGGAAGGGTGGGAGGGCACAGAATTGGATGGAGTATCCCCTGTCTACCGTGCAGAGCACCCAGCGGTCCAAAGTGATATGGGACCATGCATGGTAGAAAGGGGACAGTCAGGACAAAAAGGTAAGGCGGGGTAGATCCAGTTCTTGTACTGGTGCACCCTCCTTGACCGCACCCTCAAAAGGCCAGTCTGGGGCCGGAAGGTTGCTTGGGATGGCCAGAGCCCTGGCCCGAGGACGGGTGCAGTCTTTTCCTGCCACTCCTATTCCTCCTCCAAGTGTCCTGCCAGTTGTGCAGTTGGTAGAACCACAATGGAGGCTGTGGCTGGAAGTGCCTGTTCTGAGTGGGGGGAGTGTGGAGGCCCAAGGACTTGAGGGTGGCCCTTAAGTCCTTTAGACTGTGGAGTCTTTTATCTGTTTTGTCATAAAAGAGGGCCGAAGTGGGCCGAGGGATGTGCTGGCCGCTGCTTCCCGCAGTCCCCATTGGCCTGGAGCGCTGAACCACGGCCAGTGGGAGCCGCGATTGGCCGAACCTGCAGATGCGGCAGGTAAACAAACTGGCCCGGCCCGCCAGGGTGTTTACCCAGGCGGGCCGCTGCCAAAGGTTGCGGATCCCTGGATTTTTTAGCGTCCCTATTTTTAGGGGAGGGCCCCTGCTAGCCCTGGCGCTTGTGCTAATTAGCTGCATCAACCACCAGGGAATTGGGGGTGGGGGTGTAAATAAGTGTTCATATCCCTTTGAGGGGACAAAGTACCGCATTTCATTTCTCTTGGCCATAGGGTCAGATAGGCCGGGATCTGCACAAGGTCTTTGTAGTCTCAGCAATGGTCTTAATTAACAGCAGGGCAATGTGAGAGTGCCCGGAGTGGGCAAGGATATCAACCATAGGGTTGGCATCCTTTACCTCCTCCTCTGCCTGGATACCCGGGTTCTGGGACCACCCGTCGCAGCAGCTATTGTAGGACCCTGCTGTCCTCCAAGACTGGGGCCGTCGATGTCCCTGCTACGGTCTCATCTGGGGAGGATGAGGAGGAAAATCCTGGCAATGGGCCCTGCTCACTTCACTCAGTGCCCAGGGGCTCATGCTGCACCCGGTATTGCTGTGCCACCACATCCGTAGCCTGCGGTGCCAGGGCCACTGGAACCGAGATCATCGGTGCTGATGCTGGTGGTGCCAAGGTTGCTGATGCCGTCAGTATCGAGGTCAGTAGTGTTGGTGCCAGCGCCACAGGCGAAGGGAGGGGCGTTTGTGGCGCCGCTGCCTGTGGTGCTGACGGTGCCTGCGGAGGGATGAAGGAAGCCGATGATACTGATGCGGATCTGGACCTCGACCCCTGGTTCTGTCCCTGGCTCTGATGATACGCCCACAGTGTCCAGGAGGGCCACTGAGTTGGGGGTTGCTACTGCAGTGGCCACGGCGCTGGATAGGGCTGGCGGTCACACTGGGACCTGGACCTTCTGTTCCTGGTCCTATCAAAGTGGTAGGATTCCGACTCCAAGGTCTCCAAGAAGGAGGACCTCGGAGGAGCGGTACGCCGTGGTGCCGGCGAGCGGTGCCGAGAACTGGGGGATCAGTGCAGCTCCCCCACGTGGGCAGACTGTGCCGGGGAGAGGTGCGTTGGAGATGAGGATCGGTGCGCCATCATTGCTGGCTTGACCCTTGATGGGATCGGGGGCCGGGTGGTCACCGGCGACTTGTCTCTCCTCTGTGGGGAGGACAGCGCTGTAAGGCACATAAGGTCCTGAGCCTCCTTGAATACCCCCGGCGTTGAGGGGAGCTGGAGCTGCCCGCCATGTCGGTCCAGAGAGCGGTGAGGGTTTGAACTCTACTGGACCCCGGAGGAAGCGGGAGTCGACGAGACCCTAAGAGGAGGAGAAGTCGAGGTGACATGGCCTGAATCGGGTCTCCCTGCCGAAGGCTCCCTGGGCTTGGAGAGGGGAGAGCAACCCCCTCTCTGGACTTTTCTTTTTCTGGGGCACCAGGGACTGAGACCGGAGCCTGACAGAAGACTGTCTATGGGCAGAGCTGTGGCGGTGCTGTTCCTCGGCACTGGCTCACACACCATCGGTGCCAGAGCACTGCGCACCAATGGGGAGGTGCTGGGCGTGGGTTCTGCCGATCCCGGGATGGATTGTGACCAGAGTGCCGCCTCCATTATAAGGATCTTGAGCCTTTGCTCCTGGTCTCTTTAGGTCCTACAGCAGAACCCTTTGCAATTTCTGCACCTCTCCTTCTGGTGGCTCTCCCCAAGACACCGCAGGCAGGAAGGGTGTAGGTTGCTCTTAGGCATAAATTTTCCACAGTCCTCGCAGAGCTTGACCCCTTGGGACCGGGGCATACCCCTGTACTGGGGGAGCATTGGTGGGGGGGAACCCCCGAAAGGAAACTTATGAACTACTACTAATACTAACTAACACGAGTAACTACTAAGAACTATAAACACGAAGAGTGGACACTGCCCAAATGCGCTGGCAAAGCAAGAGCAACAGTTCGTTCCAGCTAGCCGTCACCGGTGGTAAGAAGGAACTGGGGAGGACGGGGCGGCAGGGCCCTATATTGGGTGCCACGAAGGCACGACTCCAGGGGGTGCCCAGGCCGACCCTATGGACACTGCTAAGGAAAAAATCTTCCAGCTGTCATGCACATGGCGTGCACACACCTGATTGGAATTGACATGAACATGCAGTTGAAGAAGAACCACTGCTACAGATAAAAGAACTATTTAACTCTCAGAGTTTTGAATTTCATAACATGGAATTACACACTTTCCCATACCAAAAAAAAAAAAAAAATACTTAAAAAGGAGTTTAATCCCACAGACATGTGATAAAGATGAGTCTTGCATCACACATATGTATATAATTATATATACCTGCTTTGCTATAGTCTAACACATAATGACTGGCCTGTGAAGTTCTAGTGCTCCAAATGAGATGAGATGATAATTCCCACTATGAGGTTAGAGAGAGACAGAGGGTGAAATCCTGGCACAAAGCTCCCATTGACTTCAGTGAGGGTAGGCTGTCAACAAGAGGGTACAAGCAGAATAGCTCCCTTGATTTCACTGGAGCAATGTTGATTTTTACCAGTTGAGGACCTGGCCCAGAGGGTCTGATTTTCCTCTCATTCACATCAATTTTACATTGATTTAGACAGAAGGAAGTAAGAGCAGAGTCAGGTCCAAGGATTTCACTAACAACATGGAAACATTACTTGCACTTTAGAAAGAGATGTCCAAAGATACACAACTTCTCCTTCTTACACTGATAGCCCAAAATGTTACTAACAGACCCAATGTGCAATTACAATGAACTGGAAGCCTTGGGGTAACGCATAGGCATTTAGCTGTGCTGTTTCACATTTGATAGGACAGAAATTAGGTTTTTTAATGAGTGACAAAGCTCTCAGAATTGCTTCTTTCACCTTGGTGTTCTATCTCATGATTTGTTCCAAGTACATCTAATGCCAGACTTCTCACTGCCCCTCCACTGCCTCCCTCTCTCCTCCTACATCTTCTTGCCTCCTCTTTCATGTAAATGTTGTCCAGTCTTTGTGGCTCTCTGAAGTAATATTCAGGGACATACTTTGTGCTGTTTCAAATACACATATATACAATGGGCCACAAATTACAGGGTCACAGTTTTACCATTGCACCATTATTGAACACATTTCTGTCAATCGGGGATCTCTTCTTGAACAGAGCCACAAGTTTAAATGATCAATTACATTAATATGAACAGAATAAACTGGTATATAAAAGTACTTTTCACTTTCAAAGCTTACCAATATCTTTGTGTGGGGAAATAGGGTTTACGTTTCCTGCAGAATAACTTTCATCAGTCTGAAACATAGTAGCCATTATATTTAACAGATGAGAAAACTACAACATAAACTAGAATACTGATATAAGCATTGATTAATTTTACATAATTTCATAATGATTAAAGTTTTTAATTTAGCTAAATTGTTACATATAAAGACATTAAAATAGTGTGTTTTACCTCTTCAGTCAATATTTAAAGATACAAATGATTCAACCACTACAGTGGTAACTAGTAAAACTACAGTACAATAAAATCAACTTTTGACCAGCTTCTAATTCCGGCAGCATATTCCCGCAAAGGGCTAATGTTGTTCTCATTCCATCTTTAATTCAAAAAAGTAATCAATAACTCACAGAAAGACGGCACCCAAAGTCACCCTGTTGGATAGCCTTCATAGGACTATTCTTTGGTGTATGAAGCTATATTGTACACTGCAAAGAGCTACTGCAGTAAAATGTTGTTGTAATATGATCTCCACGCCATGGGTGCAGAGGACTGGATTAGATGGTCTCAAGGTCCCTTCCAGTCCTACAATTCTATGATTCTTCTGTTGAATGACATTTGAGCACAAGCACTCACTACTCTAGTAAGCCATTTTATACAGATGTTCCGATTAATTACTAATCTTTCCATATGGCTTCTGAAAAGTTCTATAGAGTAGATAACATGAGGGGATCAATCCTCAGCTGCTCTGTGCAGCTGAGGTGTGAAGATGGGGAACAGGGAGGCAAAAATGGCTCCATGCTACATTTGTGATTCCCCATCTCTGGGAGCAGCAGGGGGCTGGTTCAGCCCCCAGTGCAATTTAAACAGCCTAAGCTCTCCATGGAGTTCTAGCCATGTCCTTTTGCCCCAGGCCAGATCTGCCAGGCTTACACATGGCAGTGGGACTACACAACAGGGCCATCCCACAACAGAAATTCAACCAAAAGATAACTTGGGGTGAGGTCATATTCATATTCAGGGCTTGAAAAATCCATTTGCTCTGCATGAGTAGGAAACTTTCCCATGTAAATGATATCGCCTTCTGCAGAAGCTAAGCTTTCTTTAATTTTTTTTTTTTAAATAAGCCCTAATGTACGGTGGCAAAGTAAGCCTTCTAAACTGGAACTGAATGTTACTAATGCATTGTTTGCTTGTATCTGCAAAGTCCTGCCAGTTTTCACTGCTGTTTTTCAAGCTGATAAGAATCAAAGCAATTTCCTTCTGCTGCCTCTTTGGAAACCTAAGCAGAGGCTGGCACTTGAGCTATACCCTGGGGAGGGGGACACAACAGTGAAGGCTGAAGGAAGGGAAGAGTAGCGGAACCACCCCCTCTTTCCCCTGTTCAGGAGCCAGAAGTGGCAGAAGGGTCCTTGGCCCAGATCCTCAAAGGTATTTAAGTGCCTCATTCCCATCAGAATTAGGCACCTAAATACCTTTGAGAATCTGAGCCCTGTTGCTTTCCATTATACCAAAAGCACAAGGGCCAGCCCCAGCGAGAAAAAAATCATACCTGGTCAGAAATTCTCTTACTGAGATTAGCAGTAGAAAAGCACTGCCAAAGGATATATTTTAAAAGTAAACAAGCTAGTAAACAAGTGACAAAGTAAGTGAACACAAAGGATGCTGGAAACCTTCTACACAATCAACAAAGTTTTCTGAGAATACTTCACTTTGTGAAAATCAACTGATCATATCTTTAAGATTCAATATTACCTGGTCTGATGAATTTTCTGCTCCGAATACAGATGAGTCAAATAAATTAAAGCCAGGTGACTTCTGGGCACAGGGCATAAGAAAAGAAAAGGCAGGTGATTTTGGTGCTGGTCCTTCACAACCTACATTATGATTCCTGTAATGAAAGAAAGGAAGAAACATTGTAAGAAAGCATTTTATATTGAGAGTTATAAAACAGACCCTATGATTTAATAAAAGACCCTTAGGTACACTGGGTTTGATTCTGATCTCACAATGGTTTTACGCTGGTGTAACTTCATTGACTTTAACAGAGTTACTCCTGATTTACACCTATGTGAAATCAGAACCAGGCTTCTTGTTCTACTTTCCTCTATCTGTCATTAATTCCTGTCCTTACACCAACACTTGCTTCCTGTAATACAAAGTAGGTAAGAATATTATTCATAAGAACAGCCATACTAGGTCAGACCAAAGGTCCATTTAGCCCCGTATCCTGTCTTCCGACAGTGGCCAAAGCCAGGTGCCTCAGAGGGAATGAACAGAACAGGTAATCATCAAGTGATCCGTTCCCTGTCACCCATTCGAAGCTTCTGACAAACAGAGGCTAGGGACATCATTCCTGAACCTGGACCCATTGATGGACCTATCCTCCATGAATTTATCTAGTTCTTTTTTGAACCCTGTTATAGTCTTGGCCTTCACAACATCCTCTGGCACAGAGTTCCACAGGTTGACTGTGCATTGTGTGAAGAAATACTTCGTTTTGTTTGTTTTAAGCCTGCTGCCTATTAATTTCATTTGGTGACCCATAGTTCTTGTGTTATGAGGATTAAATAACACTTCCTTATTTACTTTCTCCACACCAGTGATGATTTTATAAACCTCTATCATATCCTCCCTTAGTCGTCTCTTTTCCAAGCTGAAAAGTCCCAGTCTTATTAACCTCTCCTCATCTGGAAGCTGTTCCATGCCCCTAATAATTTTTGTTGCCCTTTTCTGAACCTTTTCAAATTCCAATCTATCTTTTTTGAGATGGGCGACTCTAAGCATGTCACATGTTTCTCCCCCGAACAGATGCCCCAAGCAAAGAGTTTAAGAAAGAAAAACCACACAGTCTAGCAACTTTTTCATTAGATTAAAAAAAATGTTCATCCTTTGAATGTTTCCCACAGTCATAAATAACCCCTGTCTATGGAGTTTTTTCCCACCAGGAGAAGCAGAGTGAGTTGTAGCCAGTCAGCGCCAAAGATCAAACATTGGTTCTTATTTACAGACAAATGCTGTAATACCAAAATCAATAATATACTGTAAAAATATCCCTTAACAGAAGGACTTCCAAACCAGGGGAAACATTCAAACTTGTTACAAATGTGTGGCAAGAAATTGGAAGTAAAAAACAAAAACAAAAAAATAATCAACCAAATACAATCTCATATATGCAAATTCTCAATAAGAGAAAGCAGTAATGCTGAAAAAGATTTTGTGTGCTGGAGAGCTAGTTACACATGAATTTCAAATCTAATATGGCAGCAAAAGAAGCCAGTGCAATTTTGGGCTACATAAACAGGCAGATCTTTTTCTCCTGCAGATTCTGTAGTTAAGAAATAATATCAGATTTATGTCTTCCCAATCATTTCCATGGCAATAGAGTGTGAGATCATAAATGCAGGATTATGATTTCATTTCAGTATCATGGAAAATAAGAAGCTAGATTCTGGGGGAGAAGGCCCTTATTTAGGTATTAATGCCTCAAATAAAGCAAAAAAACCCCAAAGAATAAGTGCCCAGTACACTGTTGAACGTATAAATGTTCTCTTTCAAGTCTACTTCAGTATGAATGTCCCTCTGAAACAAAATTCTATTTGCTATCATAATAATTTTAATAAAACCTGAACATTGTTCAGCACTGTCTTGCAGGAAAAAATTGTTTTTGCATAGCAAAATTAATCAAAATGTTTATAAAATGCACATCAACATGACATGGCTCATAAAAGATCAATAAAATTAAAATCCTACAATTCAAATGGAGGAGTTTTAGGGAACTGGGCTTCCTTCCCATTAGATTCTGATGTTCTTATAAATAAAGGCATCTCAGGGGTTTTCAGAAAATGTTCAGTACTTCCTTCTGCTGCTTCAGGATTATCCTCACTTGACTTAATAAAACACTCTGTGTGTACATTCTGTTAAAAAGAAATGTCACATAATAAAAAGCACGCTTATGGCATTTACATCTTTTACAAAATGTCAGTAGTCCTTTTAGCAATAAATATATTGACTGTATTTTTGTCTCCTTTGTTTAGGTAAAAAGTTTAATATTCATAAAAAATAAGCTATTTAATCAACTATTTAATAAGCTATTTCATCAACTGCTAAAATTGTAATATCTTTTATTTTTTATTGGACCACCTTCTGTTGATGAAAGAGGCAAGCTTTCAAGTTTACCCAGGACTCGAAAGCTTGTCCCTGTCACCAACAGAAGTTGGTCCAATAAAAGATATTACCTCACCCACCTGGTATCTCTAATATCCTGGGACCAACATCACTACATCTGCACACTATAGTTACCTTTGCATATTAAACTATGTGGTTTACCAAAAAATCACATCTGGATTGAGACCATATATTAAAAATTACAGCACAAAAAGAAATTTGGAAAACTTATAAAAAGACTGAAAATAGGGATTTAGAATGGAAGAGCCACCTCAGCCTTACCCATCTGTAACAGAGCACTACATTTCTCACAGTGGAACTATTTAGATTTAATGCTTTTAATAGCAGTGGAAAGGGATAACCTTTCAGTACTCTCCAGTGGAATTAGGGGACATCACCATGAGAACATATCTTAGTTCCCTGAGACTCTCTCTTCCCAAAGAAAAGGTTAGATGAGAATGGACACTTGAACTCTGAGCAGGAAATCTCAACTAGGACACAGGTGATATTTTTGTAAAGGAGATCCTTCTCCACGAGCAGCACTCAAAATGAGAGCTTTTAATAGAACAACATAGATCTGATGGGTGAAAGTTGACGCTAGACAAATTCAGACTGAAAATAAGGTGTCAACTTTTAACAGTGAGGGTAACTAAGCATTGGAGCAATTTACCAACGATCATGGTGGAGTCTACATTTCTGGCAAATTTTAAATCAAGACTGGATTTTTAAAAAAAATGCTGTGTCTAGTCAAAAGGAATTATTTTGGGGAAGTTCTATGACCTGAGTTATACTGGAGGTCAGACTTGGTCCCTTCTGTCCTTGGAATCTATGAACCTCAGTAAATGGAATCCTATATTTGGAAGACAGAGCCAAGTAGAACAACTACAAAAATTCTACTGTGATAACTGTATGGGACGTTGGCTATGAAATAAAAAGGTATAAACACACTCCAAAGTTTCAGTAGCCTGATAAAGGATTCCAGGATTTGGCTTATTTAGTCAAAACTGACCTCTACCATGTAACTCTTTTCCCATGAATAAAGAGGCCCTTGCTGCCTGTTCTTAATGAACCAAATCCTATAGTCCTTACTCAGGCAAAAATTGCATTGATCTGAAAACTCAATGAGTTTTACCATGACAAGTTACAAAGTGCAATCTTGTTAGTTTAACAGAGTCAAAGTTCAGTTTTTCCCACCTTTGTCTAGATGGTGCAATTTAAGGATTCAGAAACCTGTGAATGACCATTTTTTGGTTGGGGGATGGTTGTTAGCACATATATATTTGAATATGGGAGACTCCTTTACCTGGCTGTGGTGGTTTCAGTGAAATAAGCAGTCCTGGTGTTCAGCAACCAAATTCTTTTGTTTTTTAGATGTGTGTACAAAACACTGAATCAGCACATCCTTCCACCACCTGGCCATATCTCCTCCACAGTCAGCATTATTTGCTCCTCTAGGTGGTGCTGGCTCTTCCCAGAGACACCAGTGAAATTCATAGGTTCTAATGTCAGAAGGGACCAAATCTGACCTGCATAACACAGGCAATATAATTTCCATCAATAATTCCTTTTGATCTAGAGCATATCTAGTGGCATGGAGGCTGTGGCTGCCTTTCACTCTAGCAACCTTGTCCATTGCAACTGAGGATTTAGCACTCTAGTTAATCTGGTAAAAGATGTCTTAATTATTAATTATTCTGAGTAGGTGAAATTTGCCCACACACATGACTGTTCCTCTGCATCAGAGAAGGGGGTGCACGGGGCTCTGTATCCTCTGTAGGTGGCAGAAGTCATCACCTCTACATAGCACAGCACGAAGGGGTATGCATCGCATGAGGCTAAGAGAAAGCGGTCCTGAAGCCTGCTCCTATTGAAATCAATGATAGAGAAGCTGTACAGGGTTTGTAAAGCTGCTCCACGCTCTCGCTCACATGGGCTTCACAGAGCCTATTTGCTCTAGCTTTGTGGAAAGAGGGAAGGGTTAGGGTTTCACTCCAGTTTATTTGCAATTCTAAAAAAAAATATTTAAAAATTGCAATTCACTTTGATGAAAGCTGATGTGCCCCAATTTTATAAAGCTCTATTTAATGTGTGTGTGAGAGAGATTTTACTTATAGCAGAAAGCTGCCACAAACTCCCCATAGTTAAGGTACTATGTAGGGAGTCAGGGGATACAATATGGGCTAGAGGACAGAGCAATGGTCTGGGAATCAGGAGATCTAGATTAGCCACTGACCTGCTGAGTGACTTCAAACAAGTCACTTCACTTCCTTTGTGTATCTTGTGTATTTAAACTGCAAGCTCTTCAGGGCAGGGCCTGTCTCTTACTATGTGTTTGTATAGTGCCTAGCACAATGTACTCATCTCAGTTTGATGTGGTGCGTCCCTGTCCAGCTATCTCAAATAAAAGGGTTGTTGTCCCATTAGGGTCCCCACCCAACTAGTAGCAGAAGTGGAGAAAGGGAGAAAAGTTTACCTGTACAGAGCAGGGAGAAGCAGGAAAGGGCTGGACCAGGCAGGGCATCTGCTGACTGGAAGAGTATATGGGGGTGGTATTTATACCCCATGCAGCTCTGGAGAAGCCCTCTTTTACCTGGATTAGGCTGGCAGCACCCACCCATAAAATCTGCCTAGGGACCATGTTTCCTCAGGACCTGCTGTGTGCTTATGCTAGATAGCCTTTTTTCCTGGAGGCGGGGAAAGAATTTTTCCCTCACCTCGTGATTGGAGGAGATGGAATGGGTTTTTTTTGCCTTCCCCACAGCAGTTCTGGGTCCCGGTGGGCTGGGGTTGAGGGGATAAGTTATAATGTCGCAACTTAGTAAGTAAAACTCATGTCAGAGGTCCAGGGCATATACTCATTATGGAAAGGATATGGTTATTGAACAAAAGGGACTGGAAGAGGATCTAAAGGGAATTCTCCCTTAAGAGATCTGAGTACGCTGGGTTCGGGGCTCCTATGTCTGGTACAGTGGGAAGATGACCCACCTTTTTTAGCTCCTTTTTGCCTCAGACAAAGGGAGGGCGGTGGACCAGGTTGGGGATTATATGCCAATGATTAAGAAAATGACCTGCACTGTACAATTTACTGTCAGGTACACCCAGATGTTTTAAATGAATAAAGCTGCAACCTAATTAAACCACATACATTGCCTCCTGTCTTTCTTCTGGTCTGGCTGGAAAATGGGGCCTGATCTCAGCTGGGGCTTTTAGCAATGAAAGAGGTGCTAGTGGGGACTCAAGCAATTAGGTGCCAGGGCTCAAGCAAATAAGTGCTGGGACTCAAGCAATTTTTTTTACTCTCATAACCGATGTGGCAAGCCCAGAGGCACCAGGCTATGATCTGCCACACCTAGAGGTGCCAGGGCTCAGCCTTGGCAAGCTCTGGCACAAATTAAGCACTGGCCTCTAGGTGCCACTGTGATATGTCTGTACATAATGAAGTAGAAATGACAAAAATGTTTAATATTTTATAGGATAGCTTCAACCTGAGCTTCTGCCAGTGTAGATACAGGGGCCCCAAGATGGAAAATCTCTGGGAAGAGATTGTGGTGGCTGAAAGCTGCCACAAGCACCACTCAGCTGGGGGACGATAGGAGTCAGTATAGCCCAAAACTTGGCCAGTGCTGGCTGAAGAAGGCGCATGTAGGCAGGATGATTGAGGTATGTGATGAAATCAGCGCATCCTCTCAACATCTACCCTCTGTAGAAATTAAATGGCCTTCATGCAGCAAAAGAAACAAGGAAGCATAAGTGGAAGTATCACCATCTGTCCTTACACAAGGTAAATTTCCTGTATTGCATAGAGAAATCAACTGTTGTATGGAAATATAATTTGTACCTCATTCTACCACCTTATTTGAACCAGGCTCTGTATACAATTAATTCCCAAACTATTAGTCCAATGGCAATCTGAATGTAGCACATCTCTACCATAATACAAATACTAATAATAAATCAAAATAGGTTCATACTGGGTAACACTCCAATTATTTAGTGACTTTAATTAATACCAAAATCCATGAACATGTACCAGAAAATTTCACAAGTTAATGTTGGCCCAAACACACTTTTTTTTTTTTAAGAAAAGTCCCTGGTTTCTTAATAAAAGTTCTTTATTCAGCCACCTGGAATTCATTGTGCAACAAAAAGCCCATAGATATCACATGCCTCCTGAAGAAAGGTTTGATAACAGAAAGGTTCAGCAAAAAGAAGAACAGGAACCTGTCAGAAAGGTTCAGAGCTCTTATAGATATAAAATGGACAATTTTCACTACCAGCTGATATGGCTTTCAGTAAAAATTGCTTCCAGGAGGACTAATCTTTAATCATCCAAAACAAAAGAAGACATTAAAGCTTGCTTGCTACAGCAACAACTCCTCTGTCCAATCAGCCACAGAACAGAATCTCAGGGACACTCATAGATTATAGTAACCATGTTTTCTCCTCTCTGATAAAACTATAGACGTAAGTCATTTTATTGAGGTCCTAGATTCACGAACAAGCTAATTGTGCCAAAAGAATGAATGGTATTTCATAGCAATCTGACCACTATCCAAAATTTTTCTTGCCCTGACAGAAAGCTCCACTTTTTACAAGTATCATTAGTATATTAACTAAAAAAATTTCACGTCTTGGAAGATGTGTAGTGAACTTAAGCTATCTTTAGGGATGACTTGGATATTGGAGGAAAATAGAATTTTAACATTGAAAAAAAAAGTCTTTAATATGCAGATAAATAATTATATTGAAGGCTGTAAAAACCAAGGACCAAATCCTGCTCTCCTTGTTCTTGTCAGTAGTCTCATTTCAGGCAGAGTAATCTCATTATTCTAAATAAAATAACTAGTTAAACAAGAAAAATGTTTAACTTACTTGAGATATATATGCAGAATCCTTTGACTTACTTGCTGCTCCCTTATCTGCACATTCAGCATCTTTGTTTCCTATACAAAGAAGTTGGCATTGTTTGTATCACAAATAACAAACAGCATTTATTTTAAAAAGATAGTTCTTGTAGCTAAATGAGAAACCTGATATGGGGAAAGGGTACCTGAAAATGTCTACTAACTTTACATTACTATTCATAGACTCGCAGACTTTAAGGCCAGAAGGGACCACCATGATCTACATATTGCAGGCCACAGAACTTAACCCACCCACTCCTAGAATAGACCCATAACCTCTGGTTGAGTTACTGAAGTCCTCAAATCATGATTTAAAGGCTATGTCTACTCTAGCACTTTTGTCAGTAAAACTTTTGTTGGTGAGGGGTGTGAAAAAAACACATCCCTGACCGACATAAGTTTCACCGACAAAAGCTCCAGTGTGGACAGTGCTATGTTGGCGGGAGACGCTCTTCCATTGACATAGCTACTGCCACTCATTGGCATTGGTTTAATCATACCAACAGGAGAGCTCTCTCCCATCGGCATAGAGCAGCTACACAGGAGATCTTACAGCAGCACAGCTGCAGCAGTACACCTGTGCTGCTGTATGATCTGTAGTGTAGACATAGCCAAAGACTTCAAGTTAGAGACTCCACCATTTACACTAGTTTGGGTAACATTTGTATTGAAGCTGCTGACTTTGTATATTCATCCTACTGATTCTGCAAAGCATTTGATAAGGACGATCAAACCAATTCAAATTCCATGACAATGCTTTTCAAGTGTCCTGTAATCTTAATGGAATCCCACTTTGTGGCCATTTTCCAAGTAGTTTCCCATCATTCTGCCACTTATTCCAATATTATGGAAGCACTGCTTAGGCTGCTATCATTATGCCAGGTTTGCTCTGTTCCTCCTGACTGATGCTACTGCTCTCTGAGAATGTTAGTAGCAGACACAAGAACAGAAGTAGACCTGCTGATGTGGAAGCAGTATGAACAGCACACCCATACAAGGAGTGACAGAGGAATCTCCAGGGAGAGGGAAAAAACGAGATGGGAAAGATAAAAGCTAGAGGGAAATGAGAAATGTTATCAGATTTTTTGTCCTACATTTCAGAACCTACAATGTGAGACTTGCAATGTTCCACACATTGTGGGCCCTGATCCCACATTGCAATACTGGGAGGTCTAGGTAGGATCTTCACATATACAAACTGCACTACAACTTCTGACAATGATTTAACCTGACAATACCATGGAAATCCAATTGAAACCAAAACTCAAAGACTTGTGATTTTAAAATTATTGGTTCTCTTCTCGTATTTCTGTTCTAATTTTGTACCTGTTCTGCATGTATCCCACAAATAAATTCTTATTCCCTTACAATTTACCAAGAAAACTACAGTTACTGTGCCTATTCTCCCAATTTTTCTTTGCCCTTCTATGTCTTTTATTCTCTTATTTTGTGTTGGTTTCCCTTCTTTTTATAAGTTATGTATCAGATCTTACTTAGACAATTAGTGACTCCTAAATCACTTAATTTCTTACAACCCTTTACTTTCCATTTTCTTACACCATTCTGGCCACTGTTTCAAACACTGGCTTCCATTTTTATACATCCAATTTGTGTCTACAATTTCTAGGTCACTTGGATGTCTCAGTACCTCACTGCATCTACAAACTTAAATTGCCTAAGTAACCAAAATTGCAGAAGCAAAAATGGAAGCCCAATTTATTACAGGATGAAAATTTGGCCTCTCATCTTTTTTTATGTCATATGTTTTATCCGGGTATAGAGGAGCTTGCGTTTTGATAGCACTTTCCATCCAAAAACCTCAAATAGCCCATTACCTATTACTGTAGCTTCATTTTCAAACCATTGCTTGCAAGTTGTTTGCTCCTGAGGAACTAGCAATCTAAGAAAACAGAAATAATGCTGCTGTTTGTCTGACTGTGGATTATTTCCATGAAATCCATCTTCATCTATAATTTCAGCAATGAAAACTAGTTTACTAAAAAAAGTTACCTGAACTGCATTTGGTTTTGCAAGCTTGCTATGGATGGAACTTTGGCAATTTTGGGATTGTTAGTCCCTGCAGTCTCATTACATTTCTAAAATACAGGAAATATTTCAAACAAAGGCATTTACAAAATTGTTACTTCAGCAATGATATTTTGACTTTTCCTTAGGCTGTACAAATTCCGTCCTCTTAACCTCTATTTATAGGTCATAACATCCAAATCTTGTTGTTTTTGCTGCTTTTCTTTGGATTACCTCCAGATGAGCATTTTTCTATAGGATGGATTCCCAAATTATGTCTTTTTGCCAATATGACCTCATCAATGATGTATAGAGGGGAATATTTCCTGGTACCTAAAGTAATACTATAATTTTCCTCTTAAAACCCCATTTGTGGCAGCATCATGTTCCATGCCCACATTTGATTTGTCTGTTAGCAAACCCAAATCATTCTTGGTAGTTATTCCTTCACAACCATGGAGAGAGTGTGGCCATAACCTGCCTCCATCTCTAAAGGCCGATATGTGCACACTCCTAAAGTGAGGTACAGTGAGCCTGCAGTTCCTGTGTGTTGGGGAGTTCCAGAAAGCAGAATACTAATACTGCCCACCAGAGTTCCTTCTGGGGTGGTCCTACATGCTGTGTGTAGCACATGTCTGTGCCTTAATGGCACAATGTGGCACTAAGAGCCTAATGAAATGCCTACGTAGCAGAAACACTGTACTTTATAAGGTGCTTAAAGGATTTTTTTATTTGCAAAGCACATACCAAAATGAACTGAGCACCAAATAGAGGACACTCATTAACTTATCTCACTTGTTTGGGATTTTAGAGAATACAGTTAATAGGCCAAATCCTAAGATCAGGTACTCCTGGGCAACACTTTTTAAACCAGTGAGGTTGTACAGGTGTAACAGATGGCAGAATATGGCTAAGTTTGTGCGTTTCCTGTTTCTCTACATCTTTTGCCCTGTGAAGCATTATCCTGCAACTGATGTATGACTTTTACATATTCCGATCATTAAAATCTTTCAGAATTATTTCATAATTCTGCAATCAAGTGCTTTAGTGGATTCTAAATGGTGTGGGGCCAAAATACACCTAATTTACTCATGGGTTAGATAGTCTTGTGGTTCAGCATATCTCTAGATTCACTATCTGAAATATTTTAGTTATGAGATATTTTCAAAACTGATGTACTAGACTCAAAGTGAACAGTGAGTCCAAAGTACACCCTGTATTAAGTACCAATATACTGTGTTTCTACTAAATAACTGGACTTTTTCTCTGCTTAGCCCCCTTTGTTCTATTATGGTGTGTTAAATTAAGCCAAGACCTCTTAGACTTCAATCATGCAAAAACATTTACATTTGCTCAACTTTGTCAATAGGCCTATTCACATGCTTAATGTTAAGCCTCTGCATAAACAGGGCCTTAATTAGTATTGTATGTATTTGGAACTAACCTGTACCCTGGAAAGAACTATTTTAACTATATCGTTCCAGTTATTCCAACAATTATCTTAATGTTTGGAGAAATGGGAATGGAACTTAACTCATTAAATACAGAAAACTGATGAAGAGAAAACTTATAGAACATAAAAAAAAATCTGTACTGATTTCGTAATGCTACAATAGTGTATATAGTCTGATTTCAGTGTAAACCTTTGCTGCCAGTGACAGAAAACAAAAACAATCATTATTCAGCATTTGTTGTTTTCACTCTTCTGTAAAGGCATCTATGAAATCCAGAAATCAACACTATTATTGGAATAATACTTCGCATGGTCCTTGAAGGGATGACACAATGGGAAGTAGGTGGATCTGAGGGCTGAATTATAGACTGGCTTGAAAAAAAGAAGCCAATAGAAAGTCCCACTGCCCTATACGGACAGAGAATGATGGGGTTGATAAGAGGAAGAGGGAAAGGAGCCTTGTATACCCTTCTCTCTAGAGAGACAGAGAATATTCCTTTCTCCTAGAAGGAAGAATTACAGGTAAGAAAACTGCCACAAGCAGGAAGGAAAAGAAAGCCCCCATCACCTTTCTAGTGCTGAAAGCTACTCCTCTTTCACTCTTCTCAAAATGCAAAAATCCACCCTCACCACACACCTAGCTGCCCATAAGTCTACCTTTTCCTTTGACAATTGCTTCAATGTATTATCTGTTGCAGTTATGTATTATTAATATTAAATTCTGCAGCAGCACTTTGACATTCCAGGGCAGCATAAAATAAGCAGCTTTCCAAATTGAAAGCCTGTATTCACAATTAAATACAAATATGAATGCTAGGTACATTTTATTGATTGCTATTTATTTTAATATTTAGTTCCATAAAAGATCAGTTACTGGATGTGCTTTAAGCTGTAGTACATTTCAATATACCACAAAAGCTGTTTTTCTGGGCATGGGAGGGAGAGACAAAATGTAAGTACAGGTTGTTCCAGTGTATGGAGAGGCTCTGTCTGTGCCTTTAAGATATAGGGCTCTGGTTTATTTTCCCTGTCTGATCTTCAAATCTGAGCTGTCAGCCACAGTGAGTCTAATGCGTCTAGGCGTCAGTTCTTTATTAAATTCTTTATTGGGGTAGCCAACTGATGATTGTTCAGTGATTCAAGAACATGCCCATTTTAGGATGCCAAGAACTTGCTAAACATGCCCAAGTGAATCTCCTGATGTCATTTAAAAGACTTGGATACCATATACGAATGGGGGCATAGTTATAGACCTGGATTTTGAAAAGAAGGCAATGGTAGAATGCCTAGTATGATCACCAATCTCATTTCATAATGGCCATCAGAGAGTAAAAGCATTCAGTCACTAGTGACTTGAGTTTGATTTGAAACAGCAACCTAAGGGGGAAAGATTCTCTATCCTATTACCAAATCCTAAGCCATCTACCTCCCTGTGTTATCTAGTTTTAAGATACAGTAGCACTGGAAATATTTTAAGTGCTTTTAATTTAAAGAAATAAAACATCTTCTGTGGCATCATGGCCTTCTCAAGTGGAGAACTGCATACCTGTGTTTCACTGTTCACTTGGCTCAAGGAAATACTAGCAATACCTGAATGGTCCATGGAATTGTCTCTTTCTTCTTCACCTGCATTATTCAATAAACATTACTTAACATTGTTAGCAGTATTATATTTAAACAGTGTGCCCTAATTAAATTGAACTTGTGAATAAAACTAATCAACTTGGCATTTAATATGGATCTGAGAGAAATATATCACACAGTATGAAAGTACCAGGTGATTTACTGTAAACTAATGTATGCAAAAACTAATGTTTGGAAAATTTCACCAATGCAAAATTTCAAATATTTCAATACAGTGTACTGGATTTACCTAAAATGAGTAAAATACTATCATGTCCTTTGTGGCAGAGAAGAGTCAGATATCAGAGGTAGGTGGAGATTTTCAAAGCACAAAGGGCAGTAAGGCATCCAACTCCCATTGAAAGTCCGAATTAAGTGCCATAGTAAAGACTGTTGATTAGATAAGTTACTATGGTTTCTATATTTTCATTACTTTTTGAACCAAATTCCACACACCCCTGCCCCCCACAACAAAAATAAAAGAAAGAATATCATTAGAAACACACACTGCACCTGTTTCTGTCCTTTGCGAAGACAGTCTAAAAGTCTGTACAGATTGGACTAATTTCTGAGGAATGCAAGGCAGATGTAATGGTTTATACTGTTGATGTTTCCCATTTAATAACTGTAGATTTCCAATCTCTTCAAACATCCTAAATTAAAAATGGAGTCAACAATTTAAAATGAAATTTAGTAAAACATGACTATTCTAAGTGGAGTTTTCAAAGGTGTTTTCTTCCCAAGATCCATACTTCAAGAAAGATCCAAACCCTTTTAGCCCAGAAATCCATCAAATTTTAAACTTTCCTTAAAGCTTGCAAACCAAGCATAAAAAGGTCTTGAAGATAGCAGAAGGTGAAAGTGTCAAAGGGTTGATCATAACTAAAGGGATGCAGTCAATTTGAAAGTCTGTCATTATAAAAGAAAAAAAATGAAAGTACTTTCAGGTACCTGCTCTCAAGTCCCCTTTGCATTATTTTGTAATTTTGAAATCAAAATTTCCTAATTTAAAAAAAAGTTTCTCTTTCCCTGTTGCTGTCTGAAAGATCCACATAACACAGCAACACACACACAAAAGAGGAAAGGGCCTTGATCTATCAGTGCATTTAAGCACATGAAAGCAAGTGTTTACTTTAAGCAAGTGAATAATTCCAGTGAAGTCAATGGGACTACTCACAGGCTTAAAGTTATGCATATGCTTATTGCTTTGCTGGATTGAGGCATAATGAACTAAACAGATGACCATACATCAAGTGCTGTCTAATGCACAAAATAAACAAACTGGAGAAAAAGAGAAGAATCTTTCGGTTATAGTAATCATAGGTATTACTTCTAGCAATAGGGGATACTAAATCTTCCAAAAGAAGTGTGATATTAAAGCTGATGGTGTCATTTTAAGATGTCAAGGAAATCAATGCATGGCAAGTGCTGAAAAGCAACCAGGGATAAAGTTGGAGATAAACCGAGAGCATTTGTTAGGACTACTTAGTTGCATTTTGTTCAGGACTAGCTGTTTGGTGACACCTGTTGAGGCCTTCATTCTGCACTGAATTGGACAAGGCTGTGATATAATGGCGGTTCTGAGCAAAAACTACCTGATACTACAGACCAGATTTTTAAAGCAATTTAGATATCTAAAGATGCAATTGGGTGCCTAGTGGGATGTTCAAAAGCCAGTGGGAGGTAGGCATCCAGGTGCTTTTGAAATCTTTAGGTGCCTAAATACCTTTAACAATCCAGCCCTATGGTAATAAAGTATTTTTACATTATTTATCATTCCAGGAAAATACATCTTTCCATCAGAGCTACTGAAACAAGACTTCAGTCACATGTCATAATTTCTTAAGATGACAAAGATAAATATTTAAATGAAGTCTTAGGAATAAAGACCTTCAAATCAGCTTGGAGTTAAACTTAACACATATACAAGGTGGTTATATATTTTCCCCCTTAAAAATGCTATTGAAAAAATCCATAGGAATCATATGGTCTTTCCTTCTCTCTGACTTAATTGATAATCATTAAAAGAAAAATCAAACTACAGACTGAAGCTCAAAATGTTCAAAATTGCAGCACGAACAAAAAAGATAATTTGTCTTCAGTATCTACTTCAGCTGTATTGTTACTAGTCATCTGAGTAGATAAGAAATCTTTATCTTGATCATAATTGCAAAACAGATAATTCTTTTGGCTTTTTGCCAAGGTGCACTTCAAACGGCAAAAGTAGAGGCTCTAAAGTCAAAATAAAAATCTTGTGTCCACAGCAGTAATTTCTTTATACTAGCTTGATGAAGCTGTGAGATATCGGTGAACATGGCCTTGTCTTCACTACAATATTTATTGTTAGAACACAACCTTGAAGAGCCTCATTAACACAATGCTCACGGTGACTTTGCAGTCATCATAGACAAAGACAAGTAGTGCTGAGTATTTTTAACCATGACTAACTGACATGATGCTGAACATGACTTGTCCTTACCTACAGCGCCTGTGCTTTCATAGTTGGCACTGACTCTTCAAGGTCATGTTCTAAATTTTGTAATACAGACAAGCCCCTTATGAATATTTTTATTCTCTAACATATTATGAACTTTTTCCATTAGTAAATAAAATCTAATCAGTCATGATCTAGAGAGGATGAAAGAATTACAATCACAGTCCATGGAATAGGCTTTCCAGACAGCTTTGGCAAAAATCTCTTATTTGGGAAACAAATATTTTAGATACTCAAAGGGAGAATTAAAATCTCTAGTCAAACTGAGAAACAATTGTGCACTTTGTCTCTCAAACACTTTTGGAAAACCTAGAGCATGAACATTACATATGTCAGTGTCATTTTTTAAGACTTCAACCTTTCTGAGCAATAGCACATTATCTATAACTGATAAACGGAGGGTGGAATTTTTCAAAAGAGACTGAGTCACTTGGGAGCACAAGTCCCTTTGAAAAATCAAAGGAATCTGTGCTCCTAACTTACTTAGGCCCAGGTCCTCAAAGGTATTTAGATACCTAATTCACACTTGAATGAATGAGAGAAATACTTTGGAGGATCTGGATCTTAAGTTTTTTTGGAAATCCCACCTGAAGAGTTTCAGTTTGTTCTTATTTAGTCTTGACTACTGTTAGCCTTTTTTGCTTCTCTTTATTTCTGAAGTCTTACCAACAAAAGAGGGAAAAAAGGAGACAGGGATGCATGCTAACATATTCATGCAGATGTAACTTATATACATGTCCAAATCATCAGAAATCAAACATTTGAACACATCCTAAGTCTGTGAGAGGACACAAACAGAGACTTCAACGAGTGGGAATTTCTGGAAGAGATTTAAAGGATAGTAAAATGATAAATGCTTCCATTTTTAGTCTAATAAACACTAATTTAAAAGCTTTAAAAATATATCATGTTCATTTTACAAGGAGATCATAATGCAAGACAATTTAGTGCACAACGATCAGGCCAAGTCCTTAAGACATAGTTGGAGCTTAAAATAAGAGTTTTGCAAATTTGTATATGGTGTTAAGTCCCCGTTTTAGAACTCACCAAAGGTCCAATATAAACTCAGGCTGGCCCTGACAATGATTTTCAGTCAGTTGTAAACCAGCTGAAATTAAACTAAGGCTCAGTTGTAAATGATCACTGACTAATTTACTAAGCCATTAATCCTGTCTATACAGCTTTCAATCATGCATGTTTTTAAGAATTAAATTAGGGTTTAGATTTCTTAAGTGGCTCAAAAAATGAACTGATCACAGATGACATTTGGAAGTCTATAAAACCCATATTGTTAGTTATGCACCAAATATTTACAACTCTTTTTGTCTAGTAAAGATGATGTGGCTCTTACTTCTGATTTCATAATAACTGCAGCAATATTCAACAGCTGCAAGATGTATACATAAATCTAAGCAGTGGTGGTGTGAATCAAAGACCAACACTTAACAGATTTGAATTAGATATCTTCAGACAGATTCAGCTTTTTAAAATCAAGTTTTCCGCAGCTTTTACTAAAATAATTAAATCCATTTGTGTTGGGATGAGAAGTGCAGCAGTCATAGCCACAACCAAGGGTGTAGTTTGGGGGGCAGGTGGTGTGTTGTCCCCCCAGACTGCAAGCCTCGGGCAGGCACAGAATTTGCCCCTCCGCGCCACTCATGGCCCTGTTTGCCTGACAGGAGCTGCCCCCCAAATATAGAAGTCAAACTACACCAATGGGCTGGTGAAGCCACTGTGGAGAAGTTGAGCGCGTTCTCTGTACCGGACTGAGGGAAAATTCTAGTGCCCCAGAGATGCCAGACTTTATACACGGTTCCAGGCTTTGCCCCATCACACTTATCCGCAGACTGTAGAACTGAGTTTAGAAGTTTACCTTTCTTTAAACGCCTTCCTTTTCTCTAAATTTTTTTTACTTTTTCCTTCAATAATTTTAGAATGATTTTGATCTTCTGTACTCCTTTCAAAGTGCTTAAAAAGTAATGAATAAAATAAATGTCAAAAGTCGAAAAATATTAACAGCCTGCCACAGATGTCTGCTGATGTTGCTAAATCCATTCATAGATAGGAGCTCTTTAGATGGTCTCTTTAATTATTATAACATTACTGTCCCTAAGCCATTTTATTAAGTGTTTATCCAGAGCCTGGCACAGTGGGACCTTCTCTGATTGGGATCCTTAGGCACTACAGTAATACAAATAAATAAATAAATAATACTCAGGTAGGGACTGACTCTGTTCCCACTGCAGTTTTGACTTAACTTTTGCCATTGACTTTAATGGAATCAGGACTGTCCCTTAGTTTATAGAACTGCAATGCAGCTTCTTGATCATTTTTATGCCTCTGATATAATGAAGTATGTTTCAATGATGGATCAATTTAGGCTATTGTTCCCCTTCTAAATCCTTTATCTATCTGCAGCAAGCCAGCAAGTAGCAAATTAATAGTAATATATCAAAATAAGAGCAAATAATAAAGAATTGGACTAATATATACAGGAAGCATGAAACCAATATCAGATGAAACAAAAATATCTGTCCTAATGCTAAATCTTCACATGAGAGAATAATCCTTCTTCCCATATCTTCCACGTTTACAAAGAGATGTGTGTGTTTTAGATAATCCGATCCTTTTATGTGATTTCCAATTCTCACACCTTCTCTCTCTCTAGGTCTTCTCTAAGGCAAAATGTAAGTTCACTGTAGCTCAGCAATATTTCAAGACTTCCAGATCTCCACTTCTTCTAAAAGCTCACCAAGCTAGAAGCCCAACCTAGAGTGGATGTAGTCAACGTCCAAATACCTCTCTCCAACAATTTTTTGTAGACACCTGCCGGTTCACATTCTAGAACGTGACCTAAAGTATCACAGAAATTCAGCCTTGGGATGTTATGTAAGTCCCTAAAAATCATTTTAACAGTGTCCTAGAGCTCTTTATAGTGGGACTATAAGAGTATGAATTAAAAATTCATTAACATTTAATTCTTGTTTGGTTAACGTGCATAAATGTATTACAATAATTCCAACACGGCATCAACTACATAATGCTATACTCAGGTTGGAGACTAATTCCCCAGCTTCTAAAGTTGTGGGAGTCTTCAGGAAGAACTCAGGATAAATTGTTCAGGAAGACATCACCAAGAGGTCCTGGACTGGAGAAAATTTCCCAAGCATTTAAGGAATTCCAAATTCCCATACAGTATATATCTTATTATGCTAAAAGTATTCTGGATGAAACGCTACTGACAGTGAGCTAACCTGGATATTATGGGCCATACTGTGTCTTAATGCCACTGCCCTCTCTGGGTGCAGAGGGGCCACAGAGCAACAGAAGGAATTTTGGTTAAGTTAGCCGAAATGCCTCCTGGGCACTGCATGCTGGGGTAACAGCTTCAGCATCCACTGACAGGTATACAGTGTGCCTTCCTCCACACCAAGCCACCTCAGTTGGGCAATGTGTTAGGAGTGTGGGGCCATGGCTCTGTCCTTACACACACCTTGTTAGGAAGGTGGTCCTAGCTGTGAGCAGTGCTTCTGCTACCCAATAGGATTATGTTTAGCTCTGGTGCAAAGGCACAAGCTGTGGAGATGAGGATCATCTGAGACAGAATTATCTAGCATTACATCTATTCAAAAGAGAACAGGAATGTATGCCATTCTGACAATGAACTCCATATTTAGGTACAATACACTAATATTCACAAGGTTAACTTGCAACATCTTAAATGCCAGCAGGAACTGGGAGCACTGTGGCGCATTTAGGGATGGCACTGATAGGTTTAGCCTTCTTAAGCTGGAAGGGAGGTCACCATGACACTGTGTCTTGAGGGAATGATGGTGTAAGCTGAGATCAATATAAGGCAATCCTCAAGAGTCCATAAATTCATGGAGTCACATTTCCCCCTTTCCTAAATAGAACACTTACAATGCAACAGAAACAATACAGTAATTACTAATTCTGGAGTCATCCTGTATGCCTGTGTGCTACGAAACACAATATACTGTTATCACTATAGAAAGACACAGTGACATATTAGTGTATATCCATGCATATACAAATGTAAAATACAATTGTATATAATTAAATTATATATTAAAACACTGTTACCTGTTTGAAATAATTAATTTTCATTTCTACTTCATTTGCTTCTTTCTCTAGTTCAAAAGATTTCTGGGTAAAAACTGCAGCATGCTTGAGGACGTCTTGTGTTTTTTGCCTCAGATAAGCACTTTTATGTTAAAGAATCAGTGAGTATAGTATGTATGACATACAGTCATGTCAAAGAATACAGATATTAAACTATTAAATCTGTATGTATATTATACTGAAAAAGTTTCTATCTACACAGTTGATGAATTACACCTATATGATCCCTATAAGGGGCAAAACTCCCATTGGGTCATATGCTGAAGTCCTATACTCAGGGCCTGAATGTCCCCTGCACTGTTAAAATCTGCTGTAGGGAGATTTGGGGGAGGAAATCTTAGTGAAGATTTATTTTTGGAGATTTTCCTACATTGTCTGTCAGGGGAATGGAGTGTGCCCCCTCACAAAAAGGGTGCAAGGGCCACGCACAAGCCTGCAGAATCAAGGAGACCAGGGTCATCTATGTGCAGGCTATGTGCCTCCACATTAGTGTTGAATCCATTGGAGCTGCACTAACAGGGACTCCCTGCTGGTCACAGTAAGGGATTGTGCACTAGAAGTACTCTAGGACTGTATTCCCTTTTCCAGATAAGGTCCATGGAGTCCCAGCCCACCCAATCACACCCTTATCCCCTCAGGGCAGACATTGGATATTCAGAAAGAGTTCTGCCACACCCAGGTGGTGGTCGGGGTGCTGAAGAGTTGACTGATCTCACATAATGTGCAGAAATGGGGAGATTCATGAAAGGGCAACCCCTCTGAGGTAAGGATCTGGCCCAGAGTTTTTACTCAGCCCTTAAGCAAACTCTCTTTAAAGCCAATGGGAGTTTTGAATGAGTAAGTTCTGAGGGCCAGATGTTACCTTAATTGCGTGCATGTAACTGCCATTGTAACTAAAAGGGGGTGCGAACGGGTAAGAAATGGCAATATTTGACCAATAAGTGGGAAGAGGGGTCCAGCCAGCTACACAGCACTGTTTCCTACATGTGTGCGCACACACACCTATGTCCCGGAGCCCTTTCGGGTTCCAGATCCACACTGGAGAGACAGTGAGGTTCAGCGGAACCCTTGTGGATTGGAGAAAAGCATTTCCTCCCCCAAGCTGCTCTGGAGGTTACCTTGTTGTGCAGCTACAATGTAGTTATGCAGCTGGGAGGCGGCGGGGTTGCTTCAGGAGGCCTTGGAGCCAGTGCAGAGGCACATGCTATATGTGCAGATAGCCTAGGCAGACTCTTGAGTCAAGGTTTGAAGACTAAATCTTTTTATTCTTCCATGGTGTAGCAAAACCCCACCCTTCTCTAACGGAACATTATGATAGAAACTTCATGAAAGGAACCTCAGTTTTCTTCCTCCAGGGCCCCACTCATGGAGGGTATTATTTGGCCCTCAATTTTCCCTCGGGCAAAACTCCTGCAGAAATAATGTCTAAGCGTAAAGTTGTAATTTAATGACAGTAATTTCTTGTGGCTATTATCACATTTGCTCGCCGACAAGCTGCAGAGGACAAGAGGTGCAGAAGGAAGGCGAGACTGGCTTCCAGTCATGATCAACAGCCTCCTGCTGAGCCTGAAAACATCTGCCCTCATTGCAATAAAACTTGTGGTTCAAGGATTGGCCTTATTAGCCAAGGCCGCCCGGGGGTGGGGGGGAGGAGAAGGGGGAGAGGCAAGTGGGCAAGTGGGGCAATTTGCCCCAGGCCCCGGCCCCACAGGGGCCCCCACGAGAATATAGTATTCTATAGTATTGCAACTTTTTTTTATGGAAGGGGCCCCCGAAATTGCTTTGCCCCAGGCCCCCTGAATCCTCTGGGTGGCCCTGTTATTAGCCACCTGAGGACCCATAACTCCCATGGAAAATGATCAAACTCGGTAACGAGTGATCGCCCATCATCATCACCACATTCAAGGCTACAAAGATAGTGAAAAAGCCAAACATAAACTTTCCTACCCACCAGCCAGTAAATATTGAGAATGTGTCATGGATACATCTGTAACGCCCAATCAGAAAGTGACCTGAAAGGAGCAGGCTCTGAAAAAATAAAGTTGCATTTTAGATTGCTCATTCACTAATGTCATATTTTTCGCAAAGACAATTAATATATAATATTAATCGGTTGGGGAAGCACTCTGCGTTTGTGTTAAAGTGCTGTACAGAAAGAGCAATATAATACAGACACATAGAACAACAACAATACTAGGAACAACATAAAATAAATGTTTGAAAATGAACTTCAAAATAGTAAAAGAAGCCTCTGGTACAATGGAATACTTTGAGGACCTGCTACCACAAGCCAAAGGACATGTGACTCTGAGTGATGAGCACTCAGAAAGCCCTGTGTTGAAATCCAGGTTTTGCCACTGACTCCATTTGTATAATGGAGAAAATAATTCTTACCTATGAAGGAGATTAATTAGTTAATGTTTGTACAATGCTTTGAATTTGCAATGGACTATAAATTATTATTATTTAACTGGACCCTATTAATATGGTAATACCGGTACCTAAAATATCCAAAAGGTTAGCTTCCTTCCATTTAAATTGTTCAGAATGTTTCAGAACTCTATTCCGGATTTCTTCAATCTCTTTTTTTTTCATATAATATTCCTGAGCAAGAGCATTTTCTGAATATTTTGCTTTGTGTTGTTTCAAAATCTCTTTATACTGGTTCATGTGATCCTGATACATTTTCCTGTTAAAACAACAAAGTGGAATAATGTTTTGATTCAGAATATTTCTTGCATTAATGTATTGTAAGTCATTTAACTTGAGAAAGAAGTTAATTATGTAAAAAAAATCAACTCAATTAGATCTGTTACTCTGTTGACAAAGGTCAGGTTATGATGAATACAACCTTATTTGGCTGTAATTATTCCCTTTCATCGAATACTATGCAGTACAAAACAGAGTACACAGTTGTGAAATGAAAACAATCGTTTCTCATTGTTCTGAAAGTGATGCAGAATATACATGTCCAAAAACAGCTTTGCAGCATTCAGATGGTTTCATTTGTATATGGCTTAACATAAAACATACAGCAGGCCAAATTCTCTGCTGGCATAAATTGACACAGTTCTACTGATTTCAATGGAGCTGAACCAATTTATGGCCCAGCTTCCTTAAGTGCTTCTCAGCTTTCGATGTTAACAAACAGGGGCCTAATTCATAACTGGTTTAAGGGCTCTCTCTTAGGAGGTACTGAGCACTCTGTAAGCACACAAATTAGTCCCATTAAATGAAACTTTCACATTGCTTAAATATTTTGCTGGATAAGGCCAGAACACTCACCAGCTGGCAGGACTGACCCCGAAATCAATTTTATCCTGGTATAAGTCCAGTGAAATCATCTGAGTACACATCCCCAAAATTAAAAAAATACGTAGCATCAGTAAAAAAAGGCCACATTAAAAAAAATATTTTATTCTCTAATTTAAACCAACAATGTTCGGGAATGCTTTTGTAGGCATTACTACAAACAAAAAACAAAGACAATATAAAAGCAATTCAGCACAAAAAGTGCTGAAGTGATCAATATCATCTTTGGAAACCACAGGAAAGAAAAGGAGCGTTGCATAGAAAGGTAATCATCCTGTGTTAAATCAATAAAGGTAAACCATGTTGCAAATACAACATGGAGTCCTTGTGACACTTTAGAGACTAACAAATGTATTTGGGCATAAGCCTTCGTGTTCTAAAACCCACTTCATCAGATGCATGGAGTGGAAAATACAGAGGCAGGTATAAATACACAGCACATGAAAAGATGGGAGTTGCCATACCAAGTGGGGGGGTCAGTGCTAACGAGCCAATTCAATTAAGGTGGAAGTGGGCTATTCTCAACAGTTGACAAGAAGGGGTGAATACCAAGGGAGGAAAAATCACTTTTGTAGTGCTAATGAGGCCAATGTAATCAAGGTGGCACATTTCAAACACTTGACAAGAAGGTGTGAGTATCAGCAGGGGGAAATTAGTTTTTGTAGTGACCCATCCACACCCAGTCTTTATTCAGGCCTATTTTGATGGTGACTGGTTTGCAAATTAATTCCAGTTCTGCAGTTTCTCATTGGAATCTGTTTTTGAAGTTTTTTTGTTGAAGAATTGCCACTTTTAAGTCTGTTATTGACTGTCCAGGGAGACTGAAGTGTTCTCCTACTGGTTTTTGAATGTTATAATTCTTGATGTCTGATTTGTGTCCATTTATTCTTTTGCGTAGAAACTGTCCGGTTTGGCCAATGTACATGGCAGAGGGGCACTGCTGGCACATGATGGCATATATCACATTGGTAGATGTGCAGGTGAACGAGACCCTGATGGTGTGGCTGATGTGGTTAGGTCCTATGATGGGTGTCCCTTGAATAGATATGCGGACAGAGTTGGCAACAGGGTCTGTTGCAGGGATTGGTTCCTGGGTTAGTGTTTTAATTGTGTGGTGTGTAGTCACCAGCAACTTCCACCTTAATTGAATTGGCTCGTTAGCACTGAACCCCCACTTGGTAAGGCAACTCCCATCTTTTCATGTGCTGTGTATTTATACCTGTCTCTGTATTTTCTGAATGCTTTTTAAAAAGACTACTTCACTACAGTAGAACCTCAGGGTTATGAACAACAGGGTTATGAACTGACCACTCAACCACACACCTCATTTGGAACCAGAACTATGCAATCAGGCAGCAGAGACCAAAAAAAAAAGATAGCAAATGCTGTCCATTACAGTACTGTTAAACGTAAACTACTAAAAATAAAGGTAAAAAACTGTTTCTGTGCTTGTTTCATTTAAATTAAGATGATTAAAAGCAGCTTTTTTCTTCTGCATAGTAAAGTTTCAAATCTGTATAAAGTCAATGTTCAGTTGTAAACTTTTGAAAGAACAGTCATAATGTTTTGTTCAAAGAATTACAAACATTTCAGTGTTATGAACAACCTCCATTCCTGAGGTGTTTGTAACTCTGAGATTTTACTGTATTATCCTAAAACAATTGACACTGCAGTGTACTTAGAAATATGTCATAGCGATGACAGATAAGTCATGGCAGGCATCAGGCTAATACTATTTAAATGGTTTCTCATTAGTACTCACTGGTTTTTACAACATATGGCTGCCAAACCTGAAATGTTACTGGTCTCTGTTTCAAGGAGGAATTTTTTCCTTAAATTGTATACAGTAGAGCAAGGGTTTGAAAAATTCCAATATGTACTTGGGAAGTAGTTAGGATTTGGAGTCATTTCTAATGAAGGGCCACATTTGACCCTTAATTTTTGTGTATTTACATCAACTGGAGTGCTGGACAAGCGTAAGGATAAAATATGTCTCAATATTAGTATAAGCCTGAACATTCTGAATATGCATGAACTCATATATCTCTAATGAATATTCTTTCAATTATGAAGACATTTGTTATTGTCCTGAAAATTAAAAGTATCGATTAAAAAATGATGGCTCCCTGCAATGTAGTTTGCAGATTTCTACACTTAGCAGCTAGAGTGCTTATTATCATTGCTTGAAAGTATTCTTAACATAAAATAATCTCAAATTCTCATACTTACTTGTCATTTTCTGTAGTTTCTTGGCAGTTTTTGAGTTGGTTATTCAAATATTCTTCATGCTTGCTAAGAACTACATATGTTGGTTTCCAGCTATGGCACAAGTTAAAAAGTGTATTAATGATTTTTTTATTAATTAAAAGTTATTTCCGAATTAAACACATCAAGAAGATTAATAAAATCAATCAGTTTCACTGGGGCCAATTCATACAAATTATTCATCTTATTATTTGAAAATCAAGCGAGGATTTTTTCTGTAGAAAAAAGTTTTCATAGACAGAAATTTGTTTTCCCAAAGCTTTTACAGCTGTGAGTCCAAAAGCATATATGGCTTAGAAAACCTGCCAATGATTACTGTTTGATGAGTCTCACTTTTTAAAGAAAACATAGGGCTACATTCACAAAGAGGATGTAGGCATTGCAATGCTAACTCCTAGAAGCCTGCTACCCAATGGAATTCACAGCTCTGAGTTAAGCATCCAGGCTTCCCATACAACGCATGGGGAAAGTTAGACACCTAAGAAAGGGATTCGCAGAAGCCACCAAGCTGAGTACGGAGTCACTCCTGCCTACGAGTGAAATGCAAAGGAAAAAGCCAGCGCTTAGGGTCCAGATCTACAGAGCCCATTGATCTAGGCCTTACATGACTGACAGGCCAGAGGGAGGCACCTATCTTTGCTCAGGATTCTCAGCCATGGACCCTCTCTTGGAGTTAGGGCTGACCTGGCTTAGGTGGAGGGAGGAGGAAGAGATAGACTATCCCTATTTTAACCAAATAACCCAGTGGTTAGTGCACTACCCTGTGATGTGGATAAATCAGGTTCAAGTCTCTGCTCCAATGACTATTTAATTACATACATAAAGTTGAACAGCTTCAACAGAAGAGATTGAGAGATCTCCACACCAGAATAGCCAAGAGCATGTGGTTCGGGCAATCACCTAGGATGTAGATAACCTAGGCACAAGTCCCTAAACTAAATCAAGCAGAGTGGGGATTCAAACCTGTCTCTCCCACACATTCTAGGTAACAAGTGCATAAGCTGCTGGGAATTCTGATGCATGCACGCACACACCACCTGCCCCCCAACTTCCCAGCTGTCTTTTGTGCAGGTTAGGCTTGCTCAAGAGCATGCCTACTGGATCAGGTGATATAGGCTGTATCTTGTAAGGTAACGACCTTCTCTTCATGTGTCAGTATATTTATGCCTGCATCTGTAATTTTCACTCCATGCATCTGAAGAAGTGGGTTTTTTACCCACGAAAGCTTATGCTCAAATAAATCTGAGGGGATTTAAGGGGCAGCTGAACAGTGATTTTGTGAACGTGAGTGGTGCCTAAATGTTGGACATAGGTGCTTTTGTGAATCTAGCTCCTAGTTACTTTTTCCAGAGAAAAATCAAACCAGACTACTTGTCTGCACCATCTAAAATAATTCACTGATCTCCATGTCTTAACAAAAGAAACCTGACTGACAGGACTAGACAATGAAGTTCTCAAAAGCATGGGCTAAATGGATCTTTATAAACTAGCACAAATAAAATCTATCCATAGAAAGGTACAACATGGATGATGCCAAGGATAGGTAATGTCTCAAATCTTGCTAAATCTCAAACGTTACCTGAAAGAACAACCTTTACGAGTAAGCAGAGAACGCGATCCACATGCTCACTGAACCTCTGGTTTCTCTTAAGGCTAGAAACAAGGGCACCAACTGTAATGCTGATTTTTAAGATGTGGGCCCTGTCATTTGTTAATGGGACTAAGACCACCAAATTAACATATGGGCACCTTTGGTTAGGACTATTTGCATACTTGATTATCCTATCATTAAATTATTTATTGTTATTTATTTCAATATTAAATTCTTTTTTTTTTTACACTGCCCCTAAATCTTCAGTTTTAAATGTGATGCAGAATTTTGTATTGAAAATGTACAACTGCATTGTGAAAGTTCTCAGGGAGGAATCTAGATGTTTTGGAAATCTAGTAGGAAGCTTTTGTGGCTTTTGGCACTTAGAAAGATATAGGGGTTGGTTTGGAATTGTGAGATAAGCATAATAGTTTGATGTTGCAACTAAAACAGTCATCATGAAGTAGTTAACACTGTGGGCAATTATGTCATCGTAATTAGATTTCAGAGGTAACACCTTGGTGACATAAATAGGGCAGTTCACATCACAAATAGGTATTGATTCACGGTCTGTTTGCAGACAAAAGAAAACAGCATCGCATCAGTTTACATTCCCATAATTAAAATTTTCTTCACAACCAGAAAGTTAGAAACTTATTTTTTTAAATGAAAGTGGATATTCTGCTACACAATTCTGCAGCAGGAGTAGATTCTACAGCAAATTCTGTGGCTCCAGAACAGCAGAGTGAACTGTTGATAGTCTGTAAAATCACAAATTAATTATTTTAAAATATTTTGGACGCCTTCATTTTTTCTTGTGTTCATCGTTTACTAGTTGTAAAAATATTAGATTAAGGAATATAATCAGTAAATTAGATTATTTTATTCTGAATAATATACATATATCAAGATCAAAAAAATATATCTCTTTCAAAAAAACAATAATATCCATCTATTCAAAGAATCTTCCCAATTTGTATTGTGCTGTATTGTTCCTGCTTCTGTTGTAAGGTCTTTGGGGCAAGATCCTGTTACTTGGCAAAAACTCACTTATTGTACATTGTCATATATACATATAGCACTATATAAATAATGTTAAAAATGGAGGATATAAACAGTGACTTCAATAATGGCTGATTTAGTGTAATTGCTGGCAAGAAGACAAACATTTAAAGAACAAAGACCTGACATTTAATTTGCTGAACAGGACTGCAAAAATATTGAATAGGAAATAATATATTCCAGATTCTGAGAAGACACAAGAAGATATAATCAACATTTACCACAGAATTAAAATTGCAAATAAAAAGTAAATGAAAAATACACTATCCATCCAGACAATTTAATATTACTGTCATAAATGTTTGATACTATTTATGACTAAAAATGTAATTACAAATCACTGCATGTAGTGACAATTGGGCAAAAAGCCACATTAAAAAAGGGCAAAGTTTTTAAAACAGCAGAGACTGATAGTACACACACACACACACAAACACACACACACAGGCATTGCTGTGACTTTCCTCAATTCAAAAAACAAATCCCTACTTTTCTTCTGGAGAAAACAAACTAACATTGAAATAAAAAAAAGAAGAAGCTTTTATTAAATGAAATACAAAACATTTATTATGAAATTCACTATGCAAGCATATTTATTCCTCAGATATAAAAAAGACACACTGTTCAAAGTGAAGAGTTTGCAATTCTGAAGTAAAACACAGGCATGCAATATTCAAGACACCAGTCTTACAAGTTAGGCTTATCACTTTCATATCTCCCCTTAAATACTACTGTGCTGTTACCACATTTATTTGCTTTTCCAACACTTAGCTTATTATAAAGTTTCAACCAAACCAGTCCAAATGTGCTAAAAATACATTTGATTGTTAGTTAGCCAGCAGGATGTCTTGTCTTCTATGATTTTACTTCCACAAGTTCCCACTATATTGATGCAACACATTGTGACATAGTCTCCTTCTCAAACAAAAAAATGGGATAAATATCTGGATTTTCAAATTTAAATGCTAGAAGAGAAGGAGGAAGACCAGGATTAGATTCCATCATCCGTGTTTCATCCTCTTCTTTTGGTTCTGGGCTCAACCTTTGTATTTGTTATCAGTCATGGTAGGTAGGTAATGGAAAAGTTACCTAAGTTTATCTAAATCGTTTTTCAGTTTTGTCCTTGTATGATTCCAGTTCTTTCCTGTTAATTAGATCAAGACAGATTTCCACAGAGATTATGACAATAGGTATCATCAACCTGTAATCTGTCAAAGCTCTCAGAGACGTCCTTTTCTGTAGACTCCATTGTGTAAAATGAATCCAGCGTTGCGTTCAAAGTCTTCTCATACTCAATGCAAATTTCAATACGTTTATGGTTAGTGCTTCATTTGTTCCAAGGCTTGCCAGGGCTGAGCCCCGGCACCTCTAGGCTCTGCAGTTTATAGCCCGGCTCCTCTGGGCTAGCCAAGTCAGTTATGAAAGTAAAAAAAATTGCTTGAGCCCTGGCACCTCTTTCATTACAAATTAAGCACTGCTTATGGTATTTGGATACAAATGTAGAGACTATCTTCTTGAACGTTCTTCTGAATGTTATTTACAAGCTAGTACATTAATCCTCCTTTTTACATCAACCAACCATGAAGATGATCCTGAGGAACTTCCATTCTGTATAGCAGGACTGTAGAGGCCAGGGTGTTCCTACTTTCTCAATTATCTTTAAATAGTGTGCTGACCACATTTCAGAAGTTTAGAGGGATTCTAACTGAGCAGATCTCTTATTTCTTTCATTTTATTTTTATTGTCTGAATAAATGGCAAAAGCTTCTTTATTATAATTTTCACTGCATTCTTGAATGCCATCTTCATCAATTTAAAACACAATATTCTGCAGTTTTCTGAATACATTATGGATGCTATAACCACTAACAAGTCACTTCTCATTCTCAACCAATCATCCTGCATTGGTTTGAGCATTGGCCTGCTAAACCCAGGGTTGTGAGTTCAATCCTTGAGGGGGCCCCTTGGGGATCTGGGGCAAAATCAGTACTTGGTCCTGCTAGTGAAGGCAGGGGGCTGGACTCGATGACCTTTCAAGGTCCCTTCCAGTTCTAGGAGATGGGATATCTCCATTAATTTAATTTATTCTTTTTTTTAGGGCCTGAGCCAAAGCCCATTGAAGATCAATGGATTTTAAATCAGGTCCTTAGTTCCTCCTTTACTTTTGTCTCTATTTCTGTGTTCAGTAGTGGACCTGAGAATTTAAAACCTGTCTGGAGGAATACATTCAAAGTAAAATGTTTCAATAGTTTATTAAAATTGTTCATTGTGTACTATGTTAGAGGTGATATTGTTAATATAAAAGAAGGCTGCAACTTTCCTGTTAAGTTCAAGTCTTTTCCTTTCCCTTTTTTTCCATCAATTGCTGTTCAGTATCCAATGACAGTTAATTCCACCAAGTAGCCACTTCCCCTTCTCCAGTCACCAATGACTCCACTCCTTCCCCTTCCTCTCAAGGCTTTTAGATAGTTCTAGCACAAACTTATTCTTTCCTAATAGGCATAACAAGAACTTTGATGTTCTCATCACTTCTCCTTTTACTTACATTTTCCATTCAAAGTCTGAAATTAAAACCTATTTTTTCTAGTGTCAAAAGTCTTTCAAATATGTTATATACTTTTTTATTCAAATATTTTTATTTAATTATAAAATATTAACAAAAGAAACCAGTTTTTTTTTTTATAAAACATCAGTTGGGTTACATAGGAGCTAAACCAGGACATTGTACCAGGGAGAAGAAGCAGTAGGATGTAAAGGGATAGGATTACAGAATCTTACCCATACTTTATATATGTCATCCACAAATCTTTCTTACTAGATATCCTTATAAAGGATACCTATACTTTTCATTCAGAAAAATTAAGACATCCTAAGGAAGTAGGGAGAAAACTTGATGGTCAGATATTTCCTTTCTCACCAATTTCTAGAACAGGGGTCGGCAACGTTTGACACGCGGCTCGCCAGGGTAAGCACCCTGGCGGGCCGGGCAAGCACCCTGGCGGGCCGGGCCAGTTTATTTACCTGCTGACTCATTAATCTCTAAGTGGTCTCGTACCACTAGAGGGGAGAGCGCCTCACACCCAGAAGGTGCTTACACATATATTGGGAGTCTTATTGCTAACTATCTAATTTATTAAACACAGACAATATTCTTAGCACTGTATAAACCAAGCTTACCATTTAAAACACTGCTTTGGAAACTGAGCCATCTAGCTTTGTAAAGATCTGATGGCTATGGAGGGAGTTAATCAAGTTTTAGGCTAGAATAACATTCCTTCCCATATAAAAATGTCTTCCACAGAAAGAGACTATTTAAAATAACTAAGGAAACTGGCATAAAAATCCCCAAAAATATGTCTGAACTCTCTTTTCCCAGTAAATTATCCATGGCTCAGACACATGTAAAATTAAGACAACGATGTTCACAGGTTATCTAACCGACTGAATAAATGGGACTGCTGCAAAGATGGCATCTGTGAACTCTGCAGATGATTACTGATTCCAATAAAGCCCTAATAAATATATCTGACAGGAAACGTCGCATATCATTTGTGTTTCTCTGTTTTATTTTACCACTGCTACATGATGGACCAATTATATTTTACATCTTACAAATAAGTTCAGGAAAACACTACAGACAAAAAACTAACTAACTTTCTATTATGCACTCTATACCAAAGAAACTGATCATGCACCTGTATTTGATTCCTTTAATACCTACTCTCCATGCTCTCTCACACACACACTTTTAAACTACTGTTTGGTAAAGCTTCTTGCTGCATTAGACTCAATGACCCTTCTAACCCTATGGTTCTATGATTACAACCATCTGTAATTAAAAACTTCAGCTTATATCATACTTACACATTGCAATTGTCCTTACTATTCTTGTTATGCTTGTGCAAATAAACAATTGCATCATTATTGTTGTTTATATTTTCATGTAATCTACAGATTTCATTCTTTCTTTCCACAATACTTGCAGTATATACTGAAATAAAGAATATGTTTATTTTATTTACCATATATCGCCCACAACAGATACAAAATAATAGATTGGATTTATATAGTACTAGGATCTGGCCTTGTGCAGTATCTGGAGTTCTTTGAGATTTGTGTCTCTATGGATGCTCCACTTCAAATGTGCACATGCCCCTGCACCTTTCATCAAAGATTTTCGGTAGCACAGATAGCCCTTTTGGCCTGCACGTGCAACCTACACATCCTTCTGCCCCCTACCAAGGATATATAGGATTACACAGGTGAACTGCCTTCAGTTGCTTCTCTACTACAAAGTCTCTCAAAGAAAACTCTAAATCAGAGAGGAAGGAGGACAGTTAGTGGAGCACCCACAGGGACACACACCTCTAAGAACTCCAGTTACTACAAGGTGAGTAACCTCTCCTTCTTCAAGTAGTGTCCCTATGGGTGCTCAACTGCAAGTGACTCCCAAGCAATATCCCCACAGGGAGGAAGGAACTTTGGTGCAGAATCTAATACTGAAGACAGAGCTGTAGAATTTGATTTAGATGCATGATCCAAAGCATAGTGTCCGGGGAAAGTATGTACTGAGGTCCATGTTGCAGCTCTGCAAATTTCAGAGACTGGAACATGCTTGAGTAATGCCAAAGAAGTAGACTGAGGCCTGGTAGAATGAGCTAATACTCTAGAAGGAGGTTGAATGTTGACAGACTCCTAACATGAGATAATACACCCAGAAATCCACCTTGAGAGTTTTGGGGTAAAGACTGTGGGTATTTTGGATCTGTCTGCAATTAAAACAGTTTGGAAAACTTTCTGAATGGTTTGACTCTGTCTAGATAGAAGGCTAAAACCCTTCTGACATCCAAGGTATGGAAGGCAATCTCCTGCCCAGTCTGATGTGGTTTCAGGGGGGGGAAAAAAAGAGATATGAATCATCTGGATAATACAAAACTTGGAGGACACTTAGAAGCTTAGAATGTGGTCATAATGAAACCTTTTCCTTGATGAAGACTGTAAATGGGGGATCTGCCATTAAAGCCCCTAGTGCTCTGACACTAAAAGCCAAAGAGTGGTGGCCACCAAGAAATCTGTTTTCATGAATAGGTGCAGCAACAAACACATAGTTAATGGTTCAAAAAGATGTTTCACATGGCAATTAAGAACAAAGTTTAAGTCACATGTTGGACTAAAAAGATGCATTAGCCCTCTAAGGAATCTTGACATCGTAGGGTGAGCAAAAAAACAAAAAGTCTTCAACAGATGAATGAATGACTGTTATAGCCACCAAGTGAACCTTGAAGGAACTCATAGTAAGACCTGATTGTTTAATTTCAACAGATAGTCTAGGATGGTGGGAAGAGCAGAACAAACAAGAGAAATTTGTCAGTGGGTACACGTCCTCACTTCTGAAGGTAACCATGTCACGTAGATGCTTTTCTGGTGTTTATCAACACCTGTTACACATTTGTTGAATGGGAAGTCTCTATCCCTGAGAACCATCTAGGAGCCATGCCTTGAATTGCACAACTTCCAGACAGGAGTGAAGTGTCTGACCGGCATGTTGAGACAACAGATGGCAACTGACTGGAAGTTTCATCAGTGGATGACCAGCAGGTCAAATGAGATAAGGATACCAAGCTTGTCTCGGCCAAGTTGGTGCAATTAAAATGACCCTCACCTTGACCTACTTGATCTTGTTCAGTACTTTCAAGAGTAACGATGCCGGTGAGTATGTGTAAAGAAGATCCCTTTCCCATGAAATGATGAAGGCAACCTCTAGTGATTGAGAGTCTAGTTCCCCTCTCGAGAAAAACTGCTTGAACTTTGTGTTGATGGTGGAGGCAAAGAGGTCCGCTTCTGGAAACCCCCATGCTAGAAACATGTTGCTGAGGATCCATAAATCTAACTCCCATTCACTAGGAGCAACATCTGCTGAGGTCGACAGCTGTGGGGCTTTGTGCATTGAGGAAGCTGAGATAACAATCTGGTTGGCTATGCACCAATTTCAGAGTTTTACTGATTCACCACAAAGCAAGGGGGTGCAAGCACCATCCTGGTGATTGATATAGAACATACAGCCAACGTTGTCTGTCATGACCTTGACAGACTTGGCTTTGATCAGTGGAAGGAAATGAATGCAAGCATTGCAGACTGCTCTCAATTCTAAAAGATTGATGTAAGATGACACTCTTGGGAAGTCCATTGACCTGGATGATGTGAGACACTAGATATTCTGTTCATCCCACGAGTTGAGTACAGAATCCAACGGGGAACAGACCCCTGCTTGTCCTTGTGCTTGTTCAGTTTATAAATTGTCCTCAGCCACCTCTGGAAAAACCAAAGATGGAATCTGGCATATTGGGTTATGAAGGTATAAGCTGCCATATGACCAACAGTTGGAAACAATTTCTTGCTGAGGTTTGAGGATTTAGCTGAATCCTTGAAATGAGATTTTATTTTTAGGGATGCAAACCTGTTCCTAGGTCCCTGGCTGTCATGCCATCCAAAGAAGCTCCTATGAAATCTATCCACTCTACTGGTGTCAAAGTGGACTTTTTGAGATTGAGTTGTAAGCCTAAACTGTGGAACAGAGACCTTGTCATTTTTACTGCCAACAGAACCTCTAGTTAAGATCAACCCCTGAGTAGTCAGTCATCAAGATAACAGAAGACAATTATCCTAAATCGACATAGTTAGACAGCTATGACTGCCATGATCTTTGAGAATACCCTTGGGGCAGAGGAGAGGTCAGAAGGAAGAACCTGGTACTGAAAGTAATCATGGTTTACTGTAAAATGAAGAAACCTCTGTGAGAGAAGTGAATTGTGATATGACAAAACACATCTTGGAGGCTGACAGTTGCAAACCAAACCCTGGAATCTAATGAAGGAATTATAGCTACAAGAGTCACTATTCTGCATTTCTTCTGTTTTACATAAATGCTTAGATGTCTGAGATCTAATATTAGTCTCCATCACCCATTCTTTTGGGGGACCAGAAATACTTGGAATAGAAACCCTTTCCCCTGTGTTGGACTGGCATTGGTTCTATGGTTCCTGAGTATGAAGAGACATGACTTCCTGTCGCAGTAATTGATCATGAGATGGCTCCCTGAAAGGAGATGGGTAAGGAGAGTGGGAAGGAGGTAAAATGGATTGAATAATCAGTTATGACCTCCATAACCCATTTTTTGGTTGTTATTCTCTCCCATGCAGGTTGGGAATGGAAAAGACAGTTTCCACAGGGGGGAAGGAGGATGGGACAGTGCAGCAGTAGATTCTTGTGGAGTGGATGGTCTGGATTCTAGACCAAGTGATCAAAACTGGCATTTGGAGTGGATGGCTGGGATGAAGTAGCTGTGGCAAATGTTGATTTTCTTTTTGAGTACCTAGGCCTCTTTGGCAGATGGTTCAGAGGGCCTATAGAAACTATAGAAGAGAACTGGGTGAGATCTCTGTGCTGTTTGACACCTGCTAAATTTTCTTTTATTTTCAGGTGTATAAAACCTGAGGGATCTAAGTGTGGCCCTCAAATCCTTCAAGGTGCAAAGCAAGTCAACCATAGACAATGAAAACAACATATGGCCGTCAAATGGAAGGTCTACAGTAGTATTCTGTACCTTCATAAGGAAGCTGGACAATGGGAGCCAAGATGCTCATTGCATCACAATTGCAGTGGAAATGGAACAGGCTGCAGTATCGGTTGCATCAAAGGAGGCCTGTAATGATGTCCTCGCTAAGAGCTGACCTTCATTTATGATGGCCTTAAATTGTTCATGGTGTTCCTCTGATCAGTAAAGATGTTGAATTTACTGTAATTCAGATAGTAATATTTTTACATGAGTGCTTGGTGGTTTGCTGTTCTGAAACACAATGTTGCAGAGCAGTAACTCTTGTGTTCAAAAAGACTGAGTCATTGTGCTCATTTACTGTTTCCACCATCAGGGAATTGGGTTCTGATTGTGAAAATAAAAACTCCAAGTCCTTGGCCAGAACATAATATTTTTTGTCGGCAGATTTTTTTGCAGCCTCTGGTAAAGCCTCATTTACAGGGAGAACCACACATGCAGTAGCTGAAGTATGTAAACTGTTCAGGAGTTTATGATGAGAGTCCTGGACCTCTTCGAGAGGGATTTGAAACTTATCAGTGATGTGCTTCATCAGCTCTTGGATTTGTTTAAAGTCACCTTCATTCGAAATACAGACATTTACAGTCTCAGTGTGGAGTTGGTATCCCAGAAGACCTCAATTCAGAGAGCTGTTTTGTACCAGTAAGTAATGGAGACTCCAGCTCCTTCAACACCACAAGATCTTTTGAATGCCTAAACTCCTGTGGTGCCAATGGTACACAAGCAGGAGCTGAATATGGTCCTGTGGAGGCTGACTTCAGTACTGAGGTCGGTACCTGTATGGAGTGTGTCAGTATTATGGACAACAAATGCTTCCATCCAGACTCAAATTCAAGCAATGCCTATGCAGAAGTTGACAATACCAGCATAGATACTGAGGTGTCTGATAGTGCAGACTACTTTGAAGTAGAGTTCATACTAATATGGGGATGAGCAACCAAAGCAGAAGATGTCTTCGGTACTGAATCTTGTTTGGTAGGGGCATGGCTCTTAGAGGTAGCCTTAGATGTCTTCCCAGTAAAGGAATAATTCAGAGCTTCAATATTACTCCCTTTGGGACCTGAGGTGTCTGGAGCCTTCTTCAGAGTTGGTGACCAAAATTTCTTAGAAGGAGATCTAACATTCCAGCTCCTCATGTCAGTATCCACATATTTATGTGGGGCTCTTTGTACTGTGGAACAGACGATGCTGCATCCTCCAAGGCTTTTGGTGACCAAGACCCAGAAGTGCATGGGGTACCAGCCATGGTGTCCATTGAGGCTCCCAGTGACCAGGATCCAGAGGTGGACATGACACTAAATGTGCTTGAAGGCTGGTGTATAAGGGGGTTCTCAGAGCCTAGATCAGAAGCCGATCATAGGGCTTGCTCCATCATCAAGAGCTTCAAATTTATCTTCCTGTTTTTACAAGATTTCCTCTTGAATATATATAACAAGTATATGTGTGTCCAAACAGGGAAGACAGCAGGAACATCCACCACTCACAGGGAGAGCCTCCCAGCAGGAAAAACAATGTTTATAGCCCAGGTAACCCAGGACACCTCAGATAATGAAAAGTTCAGAACAACCGCTCAAATGAGGAAAGAGCAAACAAAGAGAAAAAACAGCAACAAGCCACCATCTATAGTAACTAAAACTAAGTTAAACTAAACCAAACCATCTATCCAAACTCTGCTATGGTAAAAATGAAGTGGGTACATAAAATGTTCCATCTCAGGCTGAAGGTGGTTCCGAAGGAACAGAGGGCGACTTGCCCGCGCAGCCCTATACATCCTAGGTACAGAGCACAAGGATGTGTAGGACTTATGCACAGGTTGAATGGGCACTGCTACTGAAAATCTCCTATGAAAGGCGCAAGGGCACATGCATGCCTGAAATGGAGCACCCATAGGGACACTACTCGAAGAAGAAACAGTATGTTATACTAACTGACATTACCAACAATTACAATGAAGTATTTGAGGTTAGGCTGATCTAGCAGAAAATTATATTTCATTCACACTGGTCCCCACATGGATTACAGTGCATGGGCCACAGACTGCTTCTGGAGATGTGAGTCTCCCAGAGTTACACTGGCTTACATGTTTTGGGAATGTCCCAGGATACAATCCTTTTGGCTAGAAGTAGACAGGAGAATTAATATGATAATGGATATATCCTTAAAAATTACATCCCAAAACTGTATTTTGGAATATATTCCATTGTCTTGGAAACTCTCCAAGTTGGTTCTCTAGAGCAGTGCATCTAGCCAAATGACTCATGTTGCTTAGATGGAAGAGCAACTGCCTTCAGAGACAGAAGCTTGGCACCGAGACGTGGCTGACCTGGCAACTAAAGATCAGGTAAAGTCTTGAAGAAGAGAGATATCAGACAAATCTGAAAAGATTTGGTCTAACCTTTTAGAAACCTCTGATTAATTCCTAGTGGATGGAACCTGAAATGTTGCTCTTCTTCTCCTGTTCCTTCCTTACCTTTCCCCCCTTCCCCATTATTTTACTTTTTCTGTTCTTCCCTTATTTGGGGAGGGATCAATAAAATATAAACTGAGGTTTTGCCAGCTGCAGTATTTCTGCATGTTATATTCACAAGATTTAATTATAAAATCAGCTCTTCGGGTAGGAATCATCTTAGCACAATCAATCCTGATTGTGGTATCCAGGTGCTACTGTAATATGAATAAGAAATTCCCATTATTCTGTGGTTACATAAGTTGGCAGAGAATTTAAATGGATTACATCAACTTAAAATCTAGTCAGTTTTTAAAAGTAAGTAAAAAGTAGTTTCACATATTACAGCTCCCTCTGAATCCTCATATCAGTATTTATGGGTTTCCATTCACATTTCTCTCGCTTTTAAAATGCTTTTCTCTCCCCTGTTGCTGTGTGAATGACCCACACAAACAGGGGAATGTGATACTCTCTTTGTACAAGGGAAACGGTGACATTGACTATAAAGAATAACAAATGAACAAAGCAAAACAAATAAAAAATAGAGAAAAATATTAGTAAAATATTTTACTTGAATCTGTTAGTTATAGTAGCCTTTAGTGTTTCTTGTAACAGCAAGTAAATATGCTCAGAAAAAGTGTGACATTTAAATTGAGGTGCAGATTTAATTTGCTGTCACATAATTCAGAGTATAGCAAAACCTATCTCAAGGGACTGACAAAAACAAGTTGCTTAATGGAGGTGGCCTCCCAATAAAGGTGCAGGAAAATTGTACTCTTCAGCTGACGTCAACTGATGTAGCTCCACTCAGAGCAAAGGAGCTATATCAATTTACCCCAGTTGAGGATCTGCCCCTATATGCATTAGGGGTTCTTTAAAAAAGTCTTCTAAGACATGAGGAAGGTCTTTAAGAGAAGTTTCACGTAGTTATAATATTTCCATTGTTTTACTTTTGTCTATTCTATCATTTTAATCTGTATTGTTCTGACCTTCTGCAAAATATAGTAAGTTTTTTGCACAATTTACTAATAAAGATAGCTGTGGAGAAATAACTTGATGTATTTGTAGATAGACTGGATAAATAATTATATATTGCAGTGAATAAGCTATTTCCTGCAGCTGAGGCTGGGACTTGCAAGGAGTCTAAAAACTCTGATCCCCGAAAGGGTCGAAAATAAATGGAGAGCCATTATGAATTAAAGTGTCACAGGATATCATATCAAGAATCTTAGGCTTTTCTTTGAAAGAATAACATTCTCTTATAGTCTCTTCTCTGAGAAACATTGGACAAAAATCCTGGAACAGGATCTTTCCATTCTTCATAATAGGCCATGCACTCAAAGCTCCTTAAGCCTTGGAGCCGGTGAGCTGTGTGCACAAGCATTATCAACATGTCCTTATAAAGTGGAAAGGCCCAAGTTCTGGAAGATTCAAAATTTCTTCCAACACACTTGAGCTCAGCAACACCATCTGAGCAGGGAGCCTGCCACTAAGCAAGCAGCAACAGAGTCCCAACAGTTAAGAAGTTTGAGTTGAGTGGTGAATACTTAAATTTGTATGTAATGTTGTCAGAGCAATGAGTTAGAAACAGAGAATATGAAAATACTAATTTGTGCTGTTCCTAAATCCATCTGAACCTCAGCCTATTAAACTAGAGTGACTGTTTATTTTGGGGGGGGGCAAGTTGTCAGAGCTGACCTATGATTTTGCAGAATTACTTGCAAGCACATGGCTTCATGCTACTAGAAATGGGGCAGAGGGAAATCAATTATAAATTGCTATCCAATCAGATGATATTTGCAAATAGGCAGATTGGATTGCATTATGAACTACAGAGCTTGCCTGGGCTGTGAGGTTCCAAGTGACCACTCACTTTCTTCTACTTAATACCAGCTGTACAATTGTGTTGATTGGGGCAGCTGGGTATAGGAAGGAGGAAATGCATAATTTGCTAAGGGTACATAAGGGAGTCTGAGTGAGAAGCCAGCACAGGGATGCCCAGAGGGGAGGGCGGGGGGGGCAAGTGGGGCAATTTGCCGCAGGCCCCAGACCCCACAGGGGCCCCCATGAGAATATAGTATTCTATGGTATTGCAACTTTTTTTAATGGAAGGGGCCCCCAAAATTGCTTAGCCCCAGGCCCCCTGAATCCTCTGGGCGGCCCTGAGCCAGCAACAGAGTAAATCCAAACAAAAAGGGAATTTACTTGAAGAACAAGTTAGATACTGAGTGGGAAGCTCGGATACTGATTAAAAGATAGGAATTAATAAATACAGAATATTCAAACATTCTATAATAATGAATCTGCAAATAGGGGAGTATTTGGAGGCACAAGAAGCCTTGATGCTGCCATGTTTCCATAATAAACCTCCTAATGTAAGAACAAATAATTTCTATAAAAAATGGCTAGTTGAGGATCCAAATCAGATCAACATGGGACATGTGCAATATTCCTTTTTATAAATAAGGGCTTTGAAATCTATCATGTAAGCCCTCATTTTAATGTGATAAGCATAGATGCTTGTACATTTTGTATTGTGTTGTTCTTTTCCCATACTTTCATGCAGGATTTTACATTTATTAGTACCAAATCACATTTTGTTACCTGCAGTCCTTGCAGCTCTAGAGCACTGGGTCACAAACAGGTGTCAGGCAGTCACAACCCTCTGCTCTTCCCAAATTGCTAAAGGGAGGGGGTCTTGGCTAGATGGGAAAGCAGTCTTGGGGAGGGCCTAGTATGGATGTTTGAGAACAATTGCTCTAGTGCTTCAGATCACTTGCAATTTGGTTCTGTTTTTTACAGTGTTTGTTTACATCTCTAAATTTGATCCTAGTTGAACTCACACCAAAGAAACATCTGACACAAAAAGTGAGGGTAGAAGGAACAGGAAGACAGAGACACAAACACAGCAAGAACTAGAGCTGGGGGGGAAACAATTTTCCTCTTCCAAAAAATATTCTGAGATTTCAAAAATGTTTCCATTCCACATCAAGATGAACTTTTTTCACATGCAAGAGAGAGTTACCCTGAACCTTGTGCAGATATGTTTAGGGGTGTGTGGAAGGGGGACACACACACACACTCCCATATCCCACATGAGCACCCTCGCCAGGCTATTGGCTGTTCCAGGGTAGGTATCTCTCTCTCCGGTTTTGACCAGAAATTCCATTTTGGAGAAACATTCCTGACAAAAGTTATGTCTAAACTGATACATGTCAAAAGTTTTGATTTTGACAAAACAGCATTTTCTAACCAACCAAAAAAAATAATCAAAAAATTCCTCTCCAGTTCTACAAAGAGGCTGAAGAAAACAAGAGATGCAGGTCGGGGAGATGTTAGAAGCTGAGTGGAAGGAGTGCCAGCCAGATGTGAGGAGCTACAGCTGTGTACCAGCCAACAGGGCAGGGGCAGATGCTTGAGCGGCATGTCACTGGCTGTACAGAAGAAACTGAGCACCACTAGATAATGGTGAAAGGAGAAAGCAAAGGCTGCTGGAGGAGTAAGAATAAGAGTAGCTGCAGGCAGCTTTCATTATTAATTCGTCCACCCTTTGAGCTCAAAACAGCTCTGATGTACTAGGACTAATGGGTTAAATGCAATGTGTTCAAATGTCTGAAAAAAGTCTAATAATGTAATACTACTCACAATTTATCTGGTGCGTCACATGTTCCTTAGCATAAGAAGTTTGCTCAAGCTGGAAAACTGAAATAAAAATATTCATTTTTTTATTTACTATCATTTTCTAAACAGAAATTGAGTGATTAAACAATTAACATTTCACAACACAACGTGATCTTTTTTAATATTATATCTTAACAAGAGCTGCCTATAATCATTATCTCCCCCTACTAATAGCCCAGTTATTAACTAACTCCTAGCACCAACCTCCAACAAAACCCCATACACAACAGAATAAAAACTGATTACTTAAATGCAGAATGATGGTTTAAAGTTGAAATCTTCATTATAAATCAGTCCTTACATAAAATATTACTTAATTCCAGAACTCTCAATATAATATATAGTGACCTACCAAGCTCTAGCAGAAGTTTGTCTAAGTTGCTTAAGAGAGTGTCATTCATTGTGTGGACTATAGCAAAAGAAAAAAGCAATACAAGGATTTACAGAAAGAAATTCAAAAGCTTATATTAATAGAATAAACAAGACAAGATTACAAGAAAATAACAGATATTTAAGATAAAAAGAAAATAAATATTTTAAACACTGTAAATAAACTGTCTAAACAGTTTTGCTAGAACTCTCACATGTGCTTCATTCAAATGGTAATGGGCTCCATTATGATTCTGCAACACGTTGAGGAGAGAAGGAGGTGTACCACCTGAGCAAAGCTGTCTGGAGGAATTATACCTCAAAAACACGTATTTACTTTCAGAGGCTTAGGGCAGTGCAGGGAAAGGTGCCCCTTGTTAAACCTGTACAAAAGGTGCAGCCACTGTTCCCCCCAGTTTAGCCATTCTGTCAAAGGCCATCCCAACAGGGAAGAGGCTACTCCCTGCTCTGTACACACCTCCTGGAGTAGCTGTAGCATAGTTAAGGCCCCAGTTAGCAGGATAAGCAATAATAAAAACACCATATACTTGGAATGTATACTTAGGAAATGGCATAATGGATCAGACCAACAGTATGTTTATATAGCACGTAGCCCGACTGGGGTCTCTAGGCACCACCATAATACTAATAATAAATAAATATGAATAGTGTAATCCTATATACTGTCTAACTACTAGCACAGTACAATATTAGATGCTTCAAATAAAGGTGAAAAATACCCATAGTAGATAGCATGGCTATGGGACAAGTTTCTTCTTAATCTCTAGCAGTTAGTGGTTGGTTTATGACCTGAAGCATGAGGAATAACATCCCTATTTATCCTAGCTAGAGTAACTATGGATAGTCCTCATAGTATTCATATGATGCTCTACTCTTTAAAATCCTACTACAATATTTGCCTCAGTAATATCTTGCAGTAGTGAGTTCCACAGATTGTTATGTGTTGTAAAAAGTATTTATTTTTATCAATTTTAACTGTGCTGCCTTTAAATTTCTTTGGAACTCCCCTTGTATGCTATAGAAGATGGTAGCATCACCTACTCTATGCTGTTAATTATTGACTCTTTTATATCTTCTGTTGTACATCTCACTAAATGTAGTAGTTCTAATCTTTTTTCAATTTCTTTTCATGTCTAATAATTTTTGTTGCCATTCTCCAACCCTTTTCTATTTATTTCATATACGTTCAGAGATAAGACTGAACACAATATTCAAGGTAAGGGCCATCCATCTATTTATGTAACTGTATTATACTTTCAGTATTATTCTCTGTCTCCTTCTTAATACAACCTAGAATCTTGTGGGGATTTTTTCTATCACTATGCCTTAAACAAATGTTTTCACTGAGCTGTCAATAGTGACATATAGGTCCTTTTGCTGACAGATTACAATTAATTACAGTTAATGATAGTCCTCATAGTATTCATATGACTACTCATAATTACAGTTAATGTGGCAGAGCAACCATTACTATGGGATACCTTGACTGATGAACTTCCCAACTTTTAATGTTTATATTTTCAAACGGAGTATTTAATTAACAAATGTTTTCTTTGCATTCATGTGCAATGTCTTCATTCATTCTGCCAGCACAACATATCCCTAAAATCCTCACATAATCAGAATGATCACTTGATCGACATGTTCCATTTCTGCTGAAATTTGCCAAATAGAAGGATTTTGATGAAGAAGTTTCCCAGGACTGAAAACCGAGTCTACTGTCTGAAAAGCATTAGAAAGAAAATCTTGCAGACCATCTTGTTGGTTGTGGATAAGCACTAAAATACTAACCATCATATGCTAAATTCTCAAAGCAGGATAGAAAAGGTGCACCCCCAAGAATGTATGCCTGGATGACAGTTGCAGGCACAAAATTTTACAGGTGCAACTGCTAAGGCTGTATATACTTTTTGGGAGTCCTTATTAGGCCCTGTGTTGAAAAATTAGCAGGACATGGTCTACTAAAGAACTTTACAGGCTCTGAAAGAATTTCAGGGACAAGACAGAAGAGATGATGGAATAAAAAACTGCTCATAAGCAGTAGGCACCACCTGTGGTTTACCTTTAGGCAGAAGCAATATAGATGTTTGGCACCTAGGGGAGACTCCTCAACACACACATTACCCCAGTCTTCCCGTCAGCAAGAGCAGGGAGGAAGACAATGTATAGATACAATCTTCCACCTCTGGCAACTTGAAGCCTCACTTTTACCTGGTGACACCACAATAATGTAGCTTAGAGTCCCATGAATTGAGTCCAGCCCTGGGGAGACAATTGGGGCTCTGGGCCTTAATGAAGAGTGATAATAAAAGGGAGTAATGGCCTTAAAAAATAAACCTATAGGGAGCCTCCTCATCCAAAATGCACTGACAAGAGACCCAGGAGTGGTGATACTATTGTGGATGCTATAGAAAACCCCAACTTCCATGAGAATAAAAATAAAATACAATAAAAAAACCACCCTCTGGCATACTAACAAGACAGAGAAGCAAGTTAAATACCCAGGCCTGCCCCAGCCCTTCACGGCACTATGGGGAGTGAACTGGAATCATGGGGTAAATACCCCAGCCCTTCCCCCCTCGGGGCACGGTGAGGAACAGATGGAGGGTCACAGGGGTAAATACCCCAGCCCCTGCCCCCTCAGGTCACTATGGGGAGTGAGCTGGGATCACGGGGTAAATACCCCAGCCCTTCCCCCCTCAGGGCATGGTGAGGAAGAGACGGGGGGTCACAGGGGTAAATATCCCCAGCCCCTCCCCCCTCAGGGCACTATGGGGAGTGAGCTGGGATCACGGGGTAAATACCCCAGCCCTTTCCCCCCTCGGGGCACGGTGAGGAAGAGACGGGGGGGTCACAGGGGTAAATACCCCAGCCCCTGCCCCCTCAGGGCACGGTGAGGAACAGATGGGGGGGGTCACAGGGGGTAAATACCCAGGCCTGCCCCAGCCCAGGCACGACACTGAGGGCGGGATCAGGAGGCACCGCGGAGAGAGGGGGCTGAGAGCGGTAAGTACCCAGCACCCCCCAGGCCGCTCCCTCCAAGCCGCTGCACCGCCTCAGCGCTCCCCGGCGCCGCCGAGCGCGGGAAGGAGGCGGGACGGCGGCTGCCCGCCGACGGGGTGAAGGGGGCACCGAGGGAGGCAGCCGGGCAGGGGGGCTGGACAGAGAGCGAGACAACCGTGGGGGCGACAAAGATCCAGGTTTGGGCGGGATTCCCCTCCTCCCCCATAACAATCAAAATCCCCCCCCCCCGGGCAGAGCCTGCCCCCCAGACCCGACCCTTCCGCTCTGCCTGCAGGCGAGCCCCGCCCGAGCCTGGCGCTCTCTCGCCCCCGCCCTTCGCCAGCCGCAGGGGCGGCCAGGGCGAGCAGCATCCGAGCTCCTGACACCGCTGGCGTTTGCCCGCCGCTTGTCTGCTCACTTCTTCCCCGGGTGCCCTGGACGCAATCGGCGACCTTTGGCGGGGGGTTCTTTACACCTGCGCTCTACAGGGGCGCCAGGACGTGAGTCCCTCCGACTTCTGTGTTGTCACTAAAAGTTTCTAAGCCTCGTGGTTGCAGAGGAAAGCCTTGAAAATGTGGCCTAAAGGTACCTCGGACGGTCTTTTTTTTTAAAGAGTGAATAAAAAAGAACCCAAAATGCATTATTTTTCTTTTAAAACTCATTATATTGAAGCCAATCTTATGATTGTGGGGGATCTGACTCCTGGTTTGGAATGCCTGGGGTTGGAATTACTGGGATTGTATCCGTTTGCAATGCAGCATGCTGCCCCATAAGGTATTCAGGTTCAGAATCCAAGCTCAGGTCCTTTGATTACTGACTCGCAGAACTCCAGGATCCTTGGTTAGCCCCCAGGAAGTCAAAACACCCCATGTAGCCCTTCACTGCAGCATTAACAGGCTCTGGAAGAAGCTGCCTCCAATCCTCCTTGCTAGAGGGAAGGTTGCAATAACACAGGGTTGTGCTTTGAGTTGTAAATTCTGAAAGAACTCCTCCTGACTGAAAACAAAAGTCAGGACGTTTTTCATATGAGCAGGTCAAAAAAGTACAGATAGCCACAGAAGGCTGCACTAACAGAAGGCCTGAACTTGCATTACTTAAGCAGACCAGCTCCCACTGAAGTCACAGTATGCCCATTGTAACAGGAGTTAAGGAAATGCAAGATGAGGCCTCCTACAACATAGCCCCTTGGTTCCAGCCTGTGGAAACCCTGAAAGATCAGCTTCTGTGAGTTCCCAAAACAGAAATTCTGTTTTCTTACAGTGAATCTTAAATAACAAGGAAAAGATTAATATTGGGGGGGAGGGATACATTTTGCCATGAGTACCGTTTTCTTATTGCAAGCACTTCAAGAAAAGCAATGAACATGCTCCATCTACTGGAGAGGTTCTGCAATATATCTCAAAATAAAAACTCAGTAAGTAAACAACAAAATGTCCATATGGTGCACCTTAATATTTACTATTGTCAAGTTATTCCAGATGTTTTATGCAACTTAGGTAAGATTCTTGACCAAGGCAAAAATAAAAAGTCATTTTTAAAGGAAAATATTTTTTTCTGAAAAAGTAACATAATAAAAAGGTTTGACTGATATTAAAGATTTAGGAAGTGCTGGTACACTATACGAAACATAATGAAAATTGTAAAATTAATGGATTAAAGTAATTTACAATGACAAATCTTTTCTTGAAATCCATTCTGTTTTCTAAATGCTACATAAACATACAGGACTGTACAATCCTGTAGTCCTTACTCCTGGGGTAGTTCCACGGGGACTACACATGTGATAAAAGTTGCAGGATTGGGCTCCTTTTCTAATCAAACAAATGTAAAAGCTATTACCTAATATGATAAACTGGCTTTTGGTTGTGGGTGGTACTTTGGCCTTTTACTGCAAAGGGCCTAATTCTCTTGTCACTTCCATCAGTGTAAATCAGGAGTAACTCTAGAGCAGTGAATGGAGTATACATGACAGGGGATCAAGCCCAGTATATTTTCCATAGATAAAGTGAATAGCCA